TGAACAGGAGGATAGGATATCATAGGAGGAAGGTCAGGTCAACAATATACGAAGCTTTGGCCTCACGCTTCACAGGTTTAAGACGCCAATATCAGATGCTTTAGCATGTTTCTGAGTGCGCACTATGCTGCGTTTAGTTTCTAAGGATGGGCCTGCGCCAGAAGGATGAGGAGGTGAAGGTGAAGAATTTGGGAGGTGGAGCTTGAGATTAGGGTCCACATTAACACCCGTTCGGCAGTGGACTCGCCGTTGTCGCTGCAACCTTTCTCTGCTGGGGCTGCCCAATCGGCCAGAGCCCGCTGCCTAAAATCATCAACATTCGGCAAAACAACTCGCCAGACCACAACATGATCTGGCGAGCCGTGCTACCAATACTGACTGTAAGATTTGTGAAACGGGGGGGTGCGGAGGTGAGGAGATGGGACGGAGGAGGCGACGGAGGAAAAATCGGGAAGAGTGTTTTTGCGCTGCACTCGGCCTGATGGCGAGTTTCTAGATTCCCCACCTAGGCTCTGCCTAGAAGGGTTCTTACCCTGTGTGCTTAAAGGGCCGGGCAGTGTAAAACGCCCCGGGCTGTTCCCCCAGGATCCGCCCCGCGGTTCCCCCAGCTACGTCTCCTTAGCTTAGCGTTGCTCATCTCATCTTAGCTTAGCTTATTGCATCTTAGCTTAGCTTGGCTTCATATTAGCTCAGGTCTATTTTAGCATAGCGTACCTTCATCCTAGCTTTGCTGAGCTTTCGCATAGCGAACCATGTGTGTAATTCCCTACCTAGGCTCTGCCTGTAAGGCTAGCTTAGCTTAGCTTAGCTTACCATAGCGCAGCGCTGCACTAGTATAGCATATCATAGCATAGCCAAGTATAGCATAGGGCAGTATAGCATAGCATCGCATATCATATAATAGTTTTCAAACCATATCATAGCACATCGCAGCATGACATAGTATAGCTTAACTTATCATGTCATAACATAACATAGCGCAACATAACATAGCATAGCATAGCGCAACATCGCATGGCATGGCATAGCATAGCAACTAATGCTGCTTTCCTAAGGGCTCCAACTTCTAGGTCGGGTCGCACTGGGGTAATTGCCACAGTCTCTTCTTCAGAAGTAACGATGAACCAAACAAGCGTGCGCAATTCAATCGCCACTGGGTGCGTTGCACGTGGATCCCCATGCCAACGCCATTCGCCAGTCAGAAAAGTACGATCTGCTTCGTGCCAACTGGCGACGGTGCCCTCCCAGCCCTTTGCCTTCGCCATCCGCGTGTATGTCCTTATCCCCTGGTCCCGTGTCTCGGTGACGTCCTGAATGCAGCAACGCTTGCGTCAGGCAAACCCAGAGGGAGTTGGGAAGAACATGGTGGATGAGCATCGTTGGGGGCGGAGGGGAGCATGTGCAAGCGTGCCCCCAGTGAGGGCCAACGCCGTCTCAAAACACGCCGGGCCACGGCCGCATCCATGGCGTTGTTGCGCGCAACACTTTTTCCGTCGGCGGCAAAGCAGACTTGGCTGCCCATCGAAAGCGCTAGAGAGGGGCACCGAAAAACGAATTGGCCAGCGTTGGGGAGGCAAGGCGACCGCGGAGAGGGGGCAAACGGGAAGGCTGGCGGGGAGGCAAGGCGACCGCGGGGAGGCAAGGCGGCCGCGAATTGGCCACTCAGGGAAGGACGGGACTGCATCTGAGTATGCTGGCGCGGCCAGCCTCGCCTGTGGGGACCATGGCAGCTGCCGGGCCGCGGCGAAGGGGCCCCCACGGGCGCACGCGGGGCCCAGCGCGGGTACTGCAAGTTGGCGAAGCAGTAAATCCGTCGAAGTAGCACACAAGGTGCTAGGACAACGAGCGAGGGCCGCAGGCCGCCCAGGTGGGGGCACTTGACAAGGCGTGGCAGGCACATGCGCGGTCCAGGTGGGACTTCATCCAGCAAAATGCTGGGCCCGCGGAGGGGACCAGGCGGCAAGACCAAGCCCAGGTTCCCGACCGCATGGTGAGGCTGCCAGCGGCGGCAACACCGCGAGCACCATGGCGGCGCGCGAGGGACGGAGGGAGAGCGAACGGAGGGGGAGGCGGGGGAGAAGGCGGGGCGGAGGAGCGCCCCGCCTGTGGGGTGATCCCCTCAGGGTGGGGCGGCAGCGCCGGCGACAGGAAGGCAGCTTGCCCGCGCACTGCGCTGCTGCGGACACCTGCACTGCCCCCGAATGCAGGCCCAGGCTGCTGCGGAACACACCGGGCTGTTAGTCGAGGGCAGAGAAAAGGGCGTGTTAATATTAAAACTGTAACCGAGGACGCACGGCCATGCGCTGCCGGGGTGGACAGTGCAGGCCAATATTGGGGGCACGTAATCGGTGCAGAGGAAGCGAGAGTCAGCTGAAGCTGGGACGGCCGCTCGCTGCCGGGGTGGACAGCGTGCGGCCACGTCGCCAGACCTGTCAACGCGCACAACACACGAGGCATTGTAACATTGGCCCTGTTCTGCAGAGGCAGCACAGAGGAAACGGGCCCTCGATCCCAAAATTGCAAGTCGACCGAGGACTCGGAGACTAGCGAGAGATTTCAAAGTATTGTTTGCGCTCGTCGTTCCCACAGTCGAACATTCGTGAGTCTCCCTCCCCGAAGTCTGAAGGAGCCTGCGTTTCGTGTGGGCGCCCGCGTGTTCAGGGCTGGGCGACTGCTCCCCAAACACCGTGTGCACCCAGGGTTTTTGTCTTTCTTGTGGAAAAGAAGTGAGCACTCTGTGTTGGTTTGGCGGTTATGTCTGCGCCGTCGCCGCCCCGTCGCCGCCTTGTCGCCGTCCGTCGTCTGGGCCTGCGGGTCGGTCTGGCGGCCCCGTTGTCGCCGTCGCCGACCCATCGCCGCCTCGACGCCGCCACGAGGACTGCGCCAAGTTGACTGCAACACATAGGTTCCCTTTCTAAAGGAGGCGTCGACTCTACCTTCTTCCCGCCCCCCTCCCCCCCCCCGACTCAACGTTACCCCCTCGCGCCTTGCAGTTTACGTACGAACATGCTGCCAAACGTGCCTCCCGCGCGCGGATGTCGAAATCGTTCGAACGCCCCTGCGCGCGTGTTGTCACAAGAACCCCTTGCAACAGCTGGGACGAAGTGCGCGCGCGTCGTCGCGCGCGCGCGCACGCTGGAATCCTTCAAAAACCTAGGGTGTCGTAAGGATTTTAAAATCGAGTCACGAATTCATGTTATATCAACAGAGGAGAGAGAGAGAGAGAGAGAGACAGAGAGAGAGAGAGAGAGAGTGATACCTATACGACTACCCTTCGGGTGATAGAGAGGTTCGGGGGGGGAGGAACCAACGTCTCACTCGATCGGTCTCACTATCGATCTCAATATCGATCTCAGTATCGGTCTCGCTCGATCGATCTCACTCGATCGATCTCACCATCGATCTCAATCGATCTATTTCATTCGATCGATCATACAATCGGACTGACTATCGATCTCACAATCAATCTCACGATCGATCTCACGATCGATCTCACAATAGATCTCACATTCGGTCACACTATCGATCTCACTATCGATATCACAATCGATCTCACAATCATCATCATCATCATCATCATCATCATCATCATCATCATCATCATCATCATCATCATCATCATCATCGTCATCAACGTCATCATCATCATCAGCATCATCATCAGCATCAGCATCAGCATCATCATCATCGGGACACCATCACCATCATCACCTCATCACCATCATCATCAACATCATCATCATCAGCATCATCATCAGCATCATCATCGGGACACCATCATCATCATCATCATCATCATCAACATCAACATCAACATCAACATCAACATCAACATCATCATCATCATCATCATCATCATCATCATCATCATCATCATCGAAAAGCTTGGGGCACCTTGGGCCAGGGGCACTTCTAGCAACACCCGACAATCAGCCGTGGTTCCCGAAAAGCCGTTGTGGTGCCAGAACGGTGTCCTGGTTGCGGCCACGGAGGCCCTGCCAGGGCCACCGCCCCAGCGGGGGGCAAGCGCCAACAGAATCGGATCGATAAGCCGGATCGGCGATCGAAAAGAATCGGATCGCCGGAGATCGGCAGCCGAGCCGGGAAATGTCGAATCGGCGTAAATCGGCAAGCCAATAGGCCTCCAGTAAGAAATCGAAGCCCAGATCGGAATCCCAGGTTGAATCGAATCGGAATCGGAAGCAGTCGAAATCGAATCGAACCGGAGGAATCGGCATGACCCTGGGTGCTCGCCAGCTCTCGGCGCGCGGCCGCAGCTGCTTGTCGCTCCTCGGGGGGAGACAGGACTTCCTCAGAAGTCCTACGGATTCCCTCACGAAACCCAAAGGATTCCTCAGGAAATCCATGGGATTCTTTGGGCATTATGTGGGATTCCTTGAGAGGTCCATGGGATTCCTTGGCCGCACCCCGCGCAGCTCTGTCTCTCCACGGGCAGGCCGCCAACGTGCGCTGCGCCGCCGCGATCCGCCCTGGCTGGGCAGCCGGCATCAAGCTCGCGTCCCCGCGCCGCGCGAGGCGCAGAGGAGGCGAGGTCGTCCTCGCGCCCTCGCGCCGCCCCCCTCCTCCTCCCCCTTCTCCCCCTCCTCCCCCTCCCCCTCCTCCTCCTTATGTTCCTCCTCCTCCTCCTCCTCCTCCTCCTCCTCCTCCTCCTCCTCCTCCTCCTCCTGGAGGAGGGCCACCCTCTGGCCACGACATCGGAGCGCGAAGCGCATTCGCGAGCATCTTCGCGCCTGGGGGCCTCTCGAGGCTAGCAACACACACACACACACACCAGCTCTGCCCCCCCCCAGCAATTGCGTCGCAAGCCTTCTTTGGAACAAGGCCAGGGAGCAGTGGCGGGATGCACCGAGGACACTCAGACTGTCGCCCTCGGATTTTAAAACCGCGCGACCTCCCGCCCCCTGCACTCGACGGTCACGGGCCCCGTGCCGAGAGGAACAAACAAGGGCGGCATAAACGTAAACTTTCGGCGATACGCTCGGATTTCTTGGAGAGGCGCCGCCCCCGGGGCTCAGCGCGGATCCAACAGATCCGCGCGGAGCTACCAACCTTTCCTGTCTTACGTTGTGTTTTCTGCATCGCTTCTCATGGTCGGCGGAGCCGGCCGCAAGGCCTTGGCAACATCCCCCCTCTCGACCCCCTCCTCGGTGAGCAACACCAGCGGGCGCGCCTCCTCCCAGGCGGAGAACTCCGCGCCGTCGTCGAAGGCCAACGCCAGGTCGGGCGCCTCGCGACCGCGCGAGGCCAGTGCGGGGCGCGGCGAGCTCAACCACGACGCAGACACGCAACGTCTTGACAAACATCGGGACTGAAATGTGTCTCAATTTCGGTGTCAGGAGGACCTCGCCCGGCCGTGGGACCGTCAAAACGCGGCTCGGGATGAAAAGCCGGCCCGCAGGGGGAAAGGGCGGGGACTCCCAGGGACCGCGCATGGAACGCACCACGCCATCGCATGCCGGAGGGCAGGCCACACAGGCGTGAAGAGATCGACCACGAGCCGCGAGGCAGAACACAAGGGCGCGGCGAGCTCGATCACGTGGCGCTCGACGAGCTCGGCCACAAAGGGCGCGACGAGCTCGACCCGCGGAAGGACGGCGTTACTCGGGGTCGGCATGGGCGGCACCGCAGGAGCACACTCTCAGGCACCTGGGGCGGGGGCCTGCCCCCATCGCTGGCAGCATACCGCGCCCCCGTCGGCCACCTTCCCAGTCTCGTGGGGGGAGATGCCCCAGCAGCACGAGCCTCAGCGAAGCCAGAGGATGGCGCCTCCCGGGAGCGGCGGCGCAGGCTCGGCCCGAGGCGGGAACGTGGCCAGCTCGACGCAGCGGGGGCTGGATGACGCGGCGACGTGGCCTTGGAGGCCAGGCGGGGCGCCCACACATGGGCGGAATGGGCCTCGCCGCTGCAGGCCCCGGACAAGGCGCCCCCGGAGCTGGATCGGCCCGAGCGGCGTGCTCGGCAGGGGGGGCCATGGGCGCGTCGCTGCCATAGCAGGCCTGGGATCCGCGGCCATTGGCATGCGCGCGCCTGTTAGCCGTGGAGACGGAGTGCTTGCAGACCCAGTGGCAGGCGTCGAGCACACCGTGGGTCCTCTGGAGGACTGCGGTGCCGGTGGCCGCGCACGGGGCACGTGGGCGCAACGCCCAGGTACTGCTTGTGGGCGTCTGGGCGTGGCCCAGCGGCACGCCCGCGCCACTGGCGCAGCTGGTATTGGCAGCGGTCGCAAGCCCAGTGCGGAGCGGTAATTGTCCTTGTTGTCGGCGAGTTGAAGGGCAAGCCATGGAGGCCTGCCGCGTCGGTGCCAGGTCGTGCAATGGCTTGGGCCGCGCGCGCGCCCGCCATGGGCGGTCCTGGAGAGCACCCTGCGTGGGGGGCCTTGGGCCATTGGGGCCTTGGGTCGTTGAGGGCGGGGTGGAGCCCTCGGCGGGCGCAATGCCTGCGCTGGGCGGCTCGGATGCAGGCCCTTGTAATGTTCTTCGGCGGGGGTGAAAGCTTCGACCGCGCATCCCAAAGCGAGGTGGGCGCAGTTGACGGCCTCGTCGGGGGGGGACGGGTCGGCCATGCAAGTCGCGTCTATTACGTCCCTAGTTTCCCGGCTGGAGACGTGGAGGGCCACAGGGTCGACGGCAACCTGGATGACGGCCAGCTGCCTGCGGTTCGGTGTCGGAGGCTGTCGTTGCAGTGGTCGGGAGGCCCCTCGGTGGGTGACGGCTGCCCTGGAGAAAGAAAGGGGGGGATTTGCACGGGGGGGGAACATCGACCTGGAATCGAAGATACATCGCCAATAGATCTGCAATGAGCCCCGATAGCAAGTCCGCACGTTCCTGGGCGGGGTGGGGCTACTAGACCCCTATCGGCGATCAAAGGGCGATGCGGGATTGATACGTCCGCCCCTATGCCGATCCCTCCCTATCGTTGGTTGCCCCTGAGGAGGGCACGATCGCGGGCCCTCCAGGCCGCGGCTGAGCGAGCTGCCGAGCACGGCGTTCCTCGGGGTCGCGAACGGTTCCTCCCCCTCTTGTGGGGGCGGGGGCGCCGAGCGGCGCCGGCGACCCGTCGTCGGTACGGGGCGGTTGCAGGGGCCACAGGCGAGTGCCGCGCGAGAGCAAGGCCTCTGGTGAGTGCTGCGGAAAAGGCCCTGCTCGTTCGAGCTGACGGACGCCGGCCAGGATGGCGTGCGCGGCAGCGGGGCACCGAACGAAGGGCGTCTTCGTGGGGCCACCCGGGCGCCCCCGTGGCAGTGGGCTCGCGGTTGACAATGGCGCTGTCGGCCGCCTCGGCTTGGGCGATGGCGCCAGTGTCACGGATGCCCGCCAGGTGGTAGACGAGGGCCGTATCGCCTGGCCTACAGCTTTGTTTCAGCGAGCCGCCTCTCCATGCCTGGATAGACGATGCTATCGGGCCGGAGACCGCGATGGCCAGAAGTTATGGCCTTGGAGGGAGACGCTGGTAAGGAGCGCGTCACCGCTGAAGCTTTTAGCCGGCTGAGCGACGACAGGCGCGGACTAGTGGGCCGCGTCGAGGCTCGTGAGCGGCGGCTATGGCGTCTCCTGGGCAGAGTCACCGCGTCGGCCCGAGCTCTGTGGATCAGCCTCGCGGCATTGACCCTTGGCATGTTCTCGCTCGCTGCTGGCCACAAGAGAAGCTCGAAGGCCGCTCACAGCTGGTCAGACTACTGGCGGCAATCACGGTAGATGCTTCAAGCTCGGTGGGAGCTTCGTGGACTACCTAGTTGTAGGCGGCGAACCACGACGGCCCCTCCAGACGTAAAGGCTGCGATGAAATCGGTATGAGGAAAATCCTGGCTGACTCGCGCGGCAACTCGAGACCACATCTACATCGGATCCACGTCGGACGTAAGTCGGAACATCGCCGCGCGAACGTCGTCCCATATCTGACGGGCGGACGCGTGGACTAGATCCACCGGCGTGCCCTTGAGGCACGAGTTGGAATGTCCCCTGGTCCTAAGCTTCACCCCGTAAGCCCCAGTCCTCAATCCTGAGGATTCTTCAAGTGGCCTGGACCCAACATCGCCTAATCTCTTGAGGCGCGCCGCGTGGCCCCTGGCTCCCGAGGCATCTTCTCGCGAGATCTGTCCTGGGCCAAGGGGGACCCAAGACGGGCCCGTAGGGCGCCAAGAGGCCGCCAAGACGGTCCAAGATGACGGCCCCGAGTCGCCAAACGATCAGTCCATGACGCCCAAGATGGCCTCGTGACGGCCTGAAATGCCTGCACGACGCCTCAAGAGGCATCCCAAGAGGACCCCAAGAGACAAATCTCATTGATTGTCCATCGGTGCTTTTACGATAGTGGCGTTCTCGCCTTTTTGGCTTCCCGAAGCTCTTAAGACACCCCAAGAGGCCCGCAGTATCCTCCCAAGACGGCCCAAAGAGGCTTCCACACTGCCCAAAGAGGGCCCACGACGGCTCTAAGGGGGGGGGGGCCCTGACGGGGACCCCCTCGGGCCCGAGAGGCCCCCAGGAGACCCCAAGCGGCCCCAAGAAGAGGCCGCCCAGAGGCCGCCCAGAGGCCTCCAAGAGGCCCCCAAGAGGCCCTCGGGAAGCCCCAAGAGGCCCCTAAGAGGCCCTCAAACTGCCCCCCCAAGCGGCCCCCCAGAGCGCTCCGGAGATACCACAAGAAGCATCCTGGAGGGCTCTGGCCCACAACCCAGGCACGGTGGCGGGATGGGCAGCAGGCCATCTGAAAATACAGCTATTGCGCGCCGTGCGAAGCCTTCAAGATTTTCCTCATAGCGGAAAGAGCTCCGATCTCTCACGGAAACATGATCCGGCAGATCGGCCGGCCCAGCGCGGAGCGGATGCCACGCCAAAGCTGCGCGAATGTTGCCGACGCGCTTGCCACGCCTAGTGCATCAGAGGATCGGTGGTCCAGATGGCCCACAACTTTAGGGAACGCCCCGGCGACGATTGCGCGGAATTTCAGGGGTGCGAGGGGGGAACTCCGGGAAACCAGCAGGCCATCGCAAAACTGCACTCAGCGGGTGCCTTCCTGAATTTCCAAAGATTCGGTGCGAGGCGGGGGCTTATCCATATCTACCGCCTGGGAACCGACGTCCTGGTGCCCCAGCAGGCGGTGGATATGGATATGTTTCGGCCCCTGGGGGCCCGAATATGTCCATATCAGCCGCCTGCCGAGGCTCCGAAAACTTACCCTCCAGGCGGTGGTCATGTATAAATTCCCGCCTCGGATTCGGGGGGCGAATCTGCGGACCCCCACCCCCCCCGCTCTGGAGCCGATTGTGAGCCACTTTCCCAGCTGAGTGACACACGTGAACGTGGAAAGGGCCAGGAGCGGGGGACGAACTCCGAAGTCCGGGAACCCGGGGCCTCGACCCTCGGAGGGGGGCGAATTCGACCCTGAAGGGGCCCAGGGAGCACACACACACACACACGCAAATCCGCCCAATCTCCAGGACTCAAATCTTTTCCAGCCCCCCCTTGACGCTTCTCGATCCCCTCCCTTCCCCATATGTTCCCGTACTTCTCTGATAAGCAGCGGCAATTCGTGTCTGCGCAGCGCTTCCCTCCTGGGTGGGACCCGCGCGCCCGCGGCACGGCGCGCGGGAAAGCCGCCCGCCCGCGGCCCGCCTCCAGCGGCTGGAAGCGCCCGTCGCCGAGCAGCAGGCACATCTCCAGCCACTCGCTCTGGGCGGCGAACGCGCGCGAGGCGGCTACAGTCAACCCGTATAGTAAGGATGCGCAGTAAGGATGCGAGGGCCTTGAAAGGCGATGTTGACGTTTTTCGGACGAGGTTGGCCAGCGAACGTCGCCAAGGATGGGCCGAAGGGGCAAGGATGCAAGGGCACCCTTGGGAAAGTTGCCCGTCCTTACTATGAGGGTTTGCTGTACTGCGGCAACTCATGGGAACCTCCCATGTCAGCGGCGCGCCCTGGCGTGAACTCAGAAGGGGTGGGCCTTCTCAGAAGGCTGGGACGCCCTCTGGCCTTCTGAGAAGTTTTCTACGCAGTCCCCGAAGACACAGAAGACTTCTCAGAAGGCCGGAGAGATTGAAGCCCCGCCAGCTTCTGAGAAGGCCTTCTCCGGCTCTTAGGTCGGGCATGTCCTCCTACAGGCGGATTTCGGGCGAAAATACTTAATGAGTAAAAAATGCGTCACGGATTGAGGGCGGTTCCTTTTCAACATGTGGCTCTCGCCTTAGCGCGGCGCACACTCTTGTTGAATAGTTGCAAGAGTTTCACGGATTCCCATCATCAACGTACCAGAAATGGAGCTATGGAAGGATTCAGGATTATGCGGGTGCAACAGTTACGTCGATTCTCTGTGTTGAAGTGCTAGGAATGGAGTTCTGGCACGATTCAGAATCGTCAAGACGCAACAGTCAGGTTGATCCGCGGCGTTGGAATCCCGAGAACAATGTTTTGGCATGCTTCAGGGTCTTCAAACGGGTGCATTCTAACGAGGCATTCCATCAATGGAAACGAACCGTTGTAGGGGCGTATGGAGAGGGAGCTTGGAGGGAGGGGTTACTCCAACATCGTTGATGACTCCTCCTCCTCCTCCTCCTCCTGCTCCTCCTCCTCCTCCTCCTCCCCGCCATCCTCCCCCAAACGCTCCCCGAAAAGATTTCCACAACGCTTGGGGGAACGCATGGTCCGATAGCTTGGCAGAGCTCTTGCCACAACGCTCGGCCACACGGGCGATGTCAAAAGGCAGGGGGCGGCGCAGGGGGAGCCGTGACTCGCCGAAGGCGTCTTCGATACTTTCAACGAGCGGCATTGCATTCCTGACGCTATTTGCTCGAGCCTCTGAAGCTGCTGCCCCAAGGATGGAGCGTTAGGAATGACAAAAAGGAGAGGAGGAGGAGGAGAAGGACGAGGAGGAGGAGGAGGAGGAGGAGGAGCAAACTCGTGTGGACAAACTGGCTGCGCAGTCGTCGCGCGGCGTCGCGCCTCCTCTGATGCTCCAGGCCGACCGCGCCTGTGTGCATCGCACTGGGCACTGGGCTGTGCACCCGCACCGGTGCTGCGTGTCAGGGAACGGGCAGCGCACAGGATGCGAGGGGCCTGAGATCCTTCCGTGCCGCACGACGCTGATGGCGATCCTCTACAGTCGGACTTGATTGGAGAGGACACGCGAGAGGACACAAGACCCTTCCGAGGGCCACGTTGCCACAGAACTGCAGGAGACATGGGTCGCAAGACACAGGACACGAGGGTACCCTTGATCTGGCAGGGTCGACCTACTAATCCGGGCCGCCTGTATTCACAGGCCGCAATCCCACCGAGCCAAGCTCACGCCTGGCCTGCTCCTGCTCGTCCTCGTCCTCATTCTCGACCCTGCCTCGACCAGACAAGATCACTGCTGCGCCACTGCATTATCGGTCACATGCGTATGCCCGCGCACTTGAAACACTGTACGTGTTGGGCTCACGCTCAAGTTCTATGCACAATCTCTAAGCGGTCTGGGGCCAGACGAGGTCTGAGCAGGGCGAGGCATCGATCATCGGATGAAACCTGGTGCAGGATCAGAAGGTAAAGATGGAACGACCTGGGGATGAGGAGAGAACATAGACTCCTGTTTCTGTCGTTGAAAAATGAGGCGACGCTAGTACGAAGGACCCCCCCGCACGCCGGTGGCAGGCCGCAGAGATGCGACCGCCCATGAGGGTGGGAGGCGCCCCAAACCCAACACTACCACTCAACAGGGTCGTGTCGTCCGCCTGGCAGAAGCAGCCAACATCGAATCGCAACATCGCATCGGATCGGAACATGAATCGGATCAGGCCGCGTCGGCCCGCAGTCGGAATCGAAACGAGTTGCCTGAGCCAGGATGCGCAACAACGCCATGCAAACATCGGGCCGCATCGGATCGTCGGACCGTCGGGATTCGAATCGGACTGGATCAAACATCGATATCGAGATCGAAGTGGATCAACATCGACATCGAGCTGGATCAAAATCGAATCGGCCAGCCAACATCGATATCGAACTGGATCAAAATCGGCCCTGCCTGGTCCCAGCGCTGCAGCCAAGAGGCGCCCCCCCCGGCGCGCCGCCTCGATGGCCATCGACGGGAAGCGGACGTCCACCCCGTTGACCAGCAGCAGCTGCCTCGAGGAGGGGTCCGCCTGGCGGGGAGCCCCCCTCGGGGATCTGCTGACCAGGGTCAATCCAAACCCGGGTCAGCAGGAAACCAAAAACTGCAGCGCAGGAACACAAAAACTGCAACGCAGGTCTTCGCAAAGACCGTCTGCATTGACCCCCGTCCCTTGGCTCCCGACCCCCTGGAGCATCTGGAGGCCCGGCCCTGCAGCCCAGCCTGGTGCCGAACGCCCTTCTCCGCGACCCTCCCCGCAGGTCTCGGGCTGGCATGATCGAGGGGCCAGCCGATGCGTCGACGGCCCTCCCGGGCGTGTCTCGCCCTCTTCGGACGTCCTAGAAGCTTCGCGTCGCCACGGCTGGATCCATCGGGAAAAACTTGTCAGGGTGGACCTGGGAGGGGAGTCCTGGACAGCTTTTCAGCGAATCTGGGAGGACCGCCGTTGTCTCAACTGGCCCTCCTCCGAACTAGGGGGGGGTTCGGTTGTGAAGCGGAGGCTCGGGAGTCTGCTGCATGTACCTGGATTCCCCAGCGCCTCCCGGCACCGAGGCAGGACCGGAGAGCCCAGAATCGGATCGATTTCTCGGATCGGCACTCGGAGTAAATCACGGCAGTTGCAAACCAGGTTGGGAGAAGTCGAATCGGCGGAAATCGGCAGGCTGGTAAGGCCTCGATCGAGAAGCCGAAACTCAAATTTGAATCCGAAATCGAATCGAATCGGAATCGGAATCGATCGACGTCGAATCGAATCGAGTCGGAGGAGTCGGAATGAGCCCTGCGCCAAAGGTGGCCACGCATCTGGGAACGTGCCGGGAGAGGGAGCCGACACCGGCAGCGTAAGCCAGCTTCCCACCCCTTGCCCACACACGCCCGCCCTTGTTCGTCCTCCCCAAGGTTCGCCAGCCGGCAGAGCCTGTGCTCGCCCTGGCGCGCTGCTTTGAGAGGCTCACTGTTTGGGATTCTACAGCCGATGTGACGTCATCGCGCTCCCATTACGAGCATATTTTTCCGCATCGAGAAGGCGACGCAGGAAGACTCTGTGGGAGAGGCCGTCCAGCCGATCACTGGGTGAAGTCGGTGACGGAGCTGGAGAACCCTGCATGACGCTGGTCTGAGATATGTTGCCCAGAGTCTCCAGGTACTGCGTTGCTGGTCACAGCATCAGCGGCATCTTCCTCATGAGGCTTCCACCTGGAGCACCATCCGCCCAAAAGAGATGCCGTTCATCATCTTATCCATGCAAGCGGCCCACTCCGAAAACGGTCCTTTGATTACGGTCTCTGCAGATTTCAGCTTCCCTTCTTGCAACATGCTCCCCAGCTGACCCAACGCCTCGGGCAACCTGTTCAAGTGGGCGGGCACCATGAATCCTCCCATAGTGATCTCCTTGGCAGGCAGAAGTATGTATGATTTGCATCCGTGGAGGTCGCCACTGATGAACCCGTCCATCTCTGCGATGCATCCGACAATGAGAACCTTCCCTCGGGCTTTCAGATGGCGCATGGCCGTATCAAGCTGAGCAGCTCCAACATTGTCGAATCCGCCAACCACGTGCCCTTGGCGCGAAGTGGAGTGTCCCAAAGCTCACAACTATGCTGCTGCTGCAGCTAGAGTTCTACCCCCTGACATTCGGTTTCCCGGGCGCTCTCGGGCGGGGTCAAGAATTTCTGGGAGCTCCTGTGGTGTGTCGCGTGCGTCGGAAGCCATGAGGGTCCCAGGACGGGCCCGGAGTGACCGAGGAGGCTTCGAAGACGGCCCAAGAGAGCCTCGAGTCGCATCAAATCGCCCCCAGATCCTCAAGATGGCTTGAATATGGCCGAAGAGACCCCCAGGAAGCTTCAAGAGGGCCTTATGAACAGCCCCAAGAGAACCCTAAGAGGCCAATATCACTGATTTCCTTCACGTGTTTGACAATATCAGCCTTCTCGCCTTTTTCAATTGTTAACGCTACATGCCGGTCCAAGACGCTCCCAATAGCGCCCCAGGACTGCCCACGCGGCACCCCCAAGGGGGCCCTAAGAAGCCACAAAGGCGGCCCCAAGACGGCCCAAGAGGCCCGCACAAGAGGCACCCAAGAAGGCCCGAAGAGGGGCCTAAGAGGGACGCGAATGAACATTTCGAGCCTTCTGCCCCAAGATGGCCTAGGAGCCCCCCAGAGGCTCCCGATGCCCCCCCAAGACGCCCCAAGAAGCCCCCCAGAGGCCCCCAGGACGCCCCAAGAGGCACTAAAGAATCTTCCAAGAGTCCCCTAAGAGGCATCCCAAGAGAACCTCATATGCATCCCATAGGCCTCCGACCCCCAGCTCAGCCAGGCACGGAGGCGGGATGGAGCGAATGCCATTGGATATCAGATCAATCCCTCCAGGTGCCAGGTCCTTCAACCGCCCGCTCAAATCATCCGTCTTGTATGCGATGGCCGCGTCGAATCCGAAATCGAGGAGCCTGTCGGCCTTGTCCTTAGTGCTCGTCACACCAATTACTCGGCAGCCTTTATTCTTGTACAGCTGCCCAGCGACCAGCCCCACTGTCCCCGCGGCGGACGTGATCAGCACAGTCCTCTGGTCATACGGCTCGTCCACCTTGCCGCAATCGGTATCTTCGACGGCAAGGTACGACGTGGCGCCAGTCCCGACCGTCATGATGCTGAGCCACTGCTCTGGCGGGATCCCCCGAGGCAACTTCATTGGTGGTCTTCTAGAGACGTTGTCTGAGCCGTCCGCACGCAACACCTGGTACGCGCTGACGGAACCAAAATGCGACAAGAGGTCGCCCCTGCTGTAGTCGGCACTTGTGCTCTCCAACACCTCCAAGACGCTGTCGCAGTTTGGTGAATTGCCAATCTTGGTGCGGGGTGGAAGCCCCATTTCCTCAGCTCCGCTGTTGTTTCCAGGTAGTTCCAGGTCGCACTTGCTGAGCGGCATCACCGAGACGTACGCTGTCCGGGCGAGAAGCATCCCTTCGCCAAGTGGGTCGATTTCCCCTTTACTGATGAGCTCGTAGATCCGCCGCCGTGCCCCTGTGGCACGAAGTGCAGCGTCCCCATATCATCAGCCTTGTCCTTTAAGCTTCAGTTCTCAGTCCTGAAGATCATTTGATGGCACTGGACCTCAAATTCACAAATCTTGGGCGGATCCCGCGTGCCTCCTGGGAGGCGTCGAGTTTTGTCGCATGACTTTTTCGGGCGGGCCCAAGAGTCCTCCGAGAGAGTCTCCGAGGCAAACATTCGCAGTCCCTGTCTCATGTGTGTGAGGGGCGGTTCTGGGTCCGTCGTCCCAGGGGGTTCCTAAACGACGATCCTTCCCCGCCATCCTCCCCCAAGTGTTACCCGAAGGGTCTCCACAACGGCTGGGGGAAAACATGGTCCGATAGCTTGGCAGAGCTCTTGCCACAACGCTCGGCCACAGGGGCGATTCTAGAAGGCAGAGGGCGGCGGTGATTCGCCGTAGGCGTCTTCGATATCAGCCGAGGAACTTGTGACGGTTGGGGCATGGCTGTACACCCAGCTCGAGTTCACAAGCATCGACATCCCCGGCAATATGCACAAATAACAGATACGTAACGTCCACACTGCAAACCGGAGTGTGACACACAGACACACACACAGGGGAGGGTTGCTTTATCCAGGATGCCCTGAGTCAGCGCGGTTACTCGAGCCAAAACAAGCCATGATGAACGCTGAGTAAAAAATCAAGGGGCTTTTCTAGTCACAGCGAGCTTCGGCCACGAACAGGTTCCAGAATGGCCGAAAACCAGAGCCCCTGCTGAGGCAAAGGCGGTTCTCCCTGCGGCGTCTTGACTGTACGACCAAACGATGCGACCACGCAGCAGTCCGCGTCCCACCGCCGCCTTCTTCGACAGCAGACGAAACTTTGACCGATGTCGCCTGACTTCGCACATCGCGCCCCGCGATGCGCGACGCGTGATCATCTTGGCGCCCTCGCGCCGCCCGGGAGTGCACGGTTGCCCCCGGGGCCGTAGGCGATCCGAAGAGGAGGAGGAGGAGGTGGAGGAGGGGGAGGAGGTGGAGGAGGGGGAGGAGGAGGAGGAGGAGGAGGAGGAGGAGGAGGAGGAGGAGGAGGAGGAAGAGGAGGAGGAGGAGGGGGACGGGTCGGACGCCTGAGCCCTTCGGATAAACCATCCACCCGGGAGAGGGGTAACCTCTCCGCCCAGGCCGCGACGCGCGGAGCGCGACGTCCTTCGCACCCCGCGCGCGACTCGGGTGGCGGACGTCGCTGGGAGACGCAGCTGACTTCGGCCAGTGTCTGTGGGCGGCACGCACGGAGAGGTGGCGCGAGCGGGGCGGCTTCCGCAGAAGGCGGGGAAGCGGGGGCGGCTGCTTCCTGGGAGGCAATCCCGACTTCCAAGAAGCCCTCTTAGAGGCATCCGTGCCCATCCGAGACGGCCCCTGCCTTCTGAACAGCCCCACACCTTTTTAGAAAGCCCCCCCTCGCCTCCCCGTGCGCCCGCCGCCATGCCGGGTGGAGAGCGAGGCGCAATTCACCATTTGCCGCTTCTCCCGCAGACCCAAGATCAGTCAACATCGAATCGGGAAATTCACTCGGATCAGAATGTGTCAGAATATGTGTAGGATCGGACTGCATCGGCACGGAGTCGGCATTGAATCGGATCGGCCACGGCCAGATGCACAATGGTGCCATGCAAGCATCGGGCCGCATCGGATCGCCGGAATGTCTGAATCGAATCGGATCGATGTCGCATCGGATCGACCGAGTCAAAATGGGCCCTGCCAGACCTCGACCACTCTCCCTCCCAGGGCGAGAGGCGGCAGACTTTGGCCCATGCCAGGCTCCCCAGGTCCGGTCGGCCTAGGTCTCGAAGACTGTGCCCCAGGCCTGGACCTAAACGTCGTTTTTCGTTTTGTTGTCGCTATGTGCTTCGTTTTGCTCTACCTGTTTTCCTGTCCCTGTCCTGCCAACACGAAAAACAAGACACAGTCGAAGTCCAGCAAAACAGCGTTCAGGTCCAGCCCTGCTGTGCCCGCCCACGCCTTGCCCAACCTCAGCGTCCGTTACGGGGGGGGGGGTGGGAGGGTCGGGCCTGCGAGCGCCACACCGTGCTCGTGATACGCAGAGGGCATCTATGCACCACCACCGTGCCTGGCCAGGGCCTTCCTGGGCCCTGGCACGGTGTATGCGCTCCCCTGGCCTCGGCCAGCAGGCTTCATGCACCCTGGGGCCCAGGATGACATCGGCCAGGCACGGCGGTGGTTTCTGGCAGATTTCTGCGGATGTCGGCCCCGAAAACCTCCAAGAGGGCCGTGTGTTGGGGAGCGAAGAGATTACATACACAACAAACTCGGAGGTCCTCGCGGATTTCTCGGATCGGCGCTGGGGCCTCCGGCGCCGCCCCTGGCGCGCTCCGCGCGCCAGAGAGGGGGGTCCAGCACGTATCCAAGAAATCCGCGCGGACCTCCGAGATTTTATGTTTATGCCATTTTTCGTTTCCCTAGTGTGGGAGCCCCGGATGGCGCAAGATGGGCCTAAGATGGCCCAAGAGGCCTTCAAGAAGGCCCCAGGATGGCCCCCACAGGAGGCCAGAGGGGGCACCCGAATGGACCTTTCGAGCTCTCGGCGCCCAAGGAGGCGTCCAAGAGCTCTCGAAGAGGCCCCAAACGGCTCTCAAGAGGCCCCAAAAAAGCCTCAAGGTGCCCCAAAGAGACCCCGAGGAGGTCCCAACAGTGCTAGGTAGCACCCATGGCGACTCTGACCCACAACCCAGGCACGTCTCGGAACTCTGCTGGAGCTCCCTTGAGTCATCTTGGCACCCTCCAGGGCAGTTGATCGGCTCTCTTCAACAAGGCGCGAGACGCATCTCCAATTTCTCCTCGAAGACGTTCCTGCCTGCCCCCCCGTTCCCCCGGGCACGAGCATACCACCGCGCAGCCACAATGATGCAAAACAGTAATGCAAAATAGACCAGCGGAGTGAGCGAAGCGATTAAATTCGGCGGGCCCCCTGCGAACCCTCGCCGTGCTATGCTTCGAGGATAGATGATGGGACGGAGGATGACGGAGGAGAGGGAGAGGGAGCGCATAAGGCATTCTAAGAAGGGCGTCTCCATTCCGCCAGGCAGCAATATTTCGAAGATGTTTCGAAGTTGTTTCGAAGTTGCTTCGGTGAATCGATTTGTTCTAGCATTTGTCCGTGGGACACGTATAATACGAATTAAACGTGACGCATTCCGCCAGTCGGCTTCCTCAATTCTCCTGGGGGCGCATAGAAATATTAGTAAAACGTGCCCCCAGAGCTAGGCCCACGCGCGTAACAGCTCCTGGGACATGTACAAACACAAATGGGATGAGCCCCCGGGGCTGCGAAAGCCTCGTTTCAGCGCGCCCCTCACGCAGTTCCCGATCCACACTTGACGGCGACACGTGAGAATACGACTGATCTGCGCTTCGAAGGGCACGAGGGGATCAATTCTAAACACCCCTCACGCATTTCCTGCCCCATACCTTTGCGCTCTCAGGCGGGCATACCCTTCACGCTCTCAGCTGACCCCTCAGATGGCGCAGCGGAGCGTAAAGTCGGGGGCACCCCTCTCGCACTTCGTCCCCCATGGATTAAAGGCCGTCCGACTCCCCACGGGACGCCAAGATGGCCCCTGCAAACTTCCCCCTGGGGGCTCAATAAGATTTCTGCGGGTGTGAGCACCACGGTACGCATGCCAACACCGCAGCATGCTTGTTCAGACCGCGCCATACCTGCGGGGGAAGTGGCAACCCCCGAGTACGTTCGGCATCGCCGATGCATCGGCGACGTCCACGTGGAGAAACCGGGGCTCCACATCGAACCGCATCGCCGATGCATCAACGATGCGGCGCTATCCTCTGACCCCACCGACCCCATCTGGGAGGCCTAGAATTACGGAAACGGCAAGCAGAAGGGGGGAAACAATTGCCCTTAACGGACGTTACGGGTTCACCGAAAATCACGCTGGCGAAGAACCAAACCCAGTGTAAACGAGTGGCGCGTATAAGTGGGAACGCTGAATGCGCATGAGCATCCTGAGGGATCTGCAGTGCCAACGAACGCTTCGCATACTAACCCTGCCGCTCGCGCCCTCGGTGAAACTCCCCATGGGGCCACGGAAGCGTGTGAGGGGTGTGCCGAAGTGGACCCGTACACGCATGCGAAACCTGCCACTGGAGCTTTCGGTGGAGCTCCTTGTGGGGGCGCCAACCGAGTACGCATGCGAACCCTGCCACTGGAGCCTTCTGTGGAGCTCTCTGTGGGACCACGAGACGTGTGAGGGGTTTGCCAGGGTACGAATGCCTGTCACTGGAGCCTTCGGTGGAGCTCCTGATGGGGCCACGCGACATCTGAGATTGTGCCGAAGTGGACCCGAGCACGCACGCGAACCCTGCCACTGGAGCCATCGGTGGAACTTGCTATGAGTCCACGAAACCTGTAAGGGGTGTGCGAGAAAGGACCCGAGTACTGATGTGAACCCTGCCACTAGAGCCTTCTGCGGGCATCCCTGTGGGGCCACGACGCGTGAGGGGTGTACCGAAGTAGACGCGGGTACGCATGCGAACCTTGCTAGTGGAGCTCTTGGCGTAGCTCCCTATGGGGCCATAACATGCGTGAGGGGTGTGCCGAAATGAACCCCGAGTCCGCACGCGAACTCTGCCACTGAAGCTTTCGTTGGAGTTCTCTATGGGGCCATGAAGCGTGTGATGGGTGTGCCAAAATGGGCCCGAGTACGCATGCGAACCCTGCCACTGGAGCCTTCGGTTGACCTCTCTACGGGGCCACGAGACGTGTGAAGAGTGTGCCGAAGTGGACCCGAGTATGCACGCGAACCCTGCCACTTGAGCCATCGGCGGAGCTCTCTATGGGGCCACGAAGCGTGTGAGGGGTGTGCCAGAATGGGCCCGAGTGAGCATGCGACCCCTGCCTCTGGAGCCCTCGGTGCAGCTCCTTATGAGGCCACGAAGCGTGCGAGGCGTGTGCCAAAATGGGCCCGAGTACGCATGCACACCCTGCCACTGGAGCCTTCGGCGGAGCTCCTTATGGGGCCACGAGACGTGTGAGGGGTGCGCCGCAACAAAGTACACCGTATAAATACGACTCCTCTCTCCCCTGGTGGCGTCTGGGGAATGAGTTGGGTTTTCGCTTAGGTTTGCCTCAACATGCTGCTCTCGCTGAAGCGCTGGCCTCATTTTCGGGCTACCGCTCGTTCCGAATCGTGCTCCCACTGCAGCGCTGGCGTCATTATTTCCAGCGCCATGCCACGGCATGGTTTTCTGGTCCTTCGAACTAGGCCCCAAGAATTAGAAAATGACCTCCCGAAGAAACCATCGGAAATGCTTACACAGTCGGTGTCGATTCGTTTATTTTATGGGCCACAGAAGCCCCTCCCAATCTGGGGCGTCGCCACGCCATGCTATGTCAGGCTACGCGTCCTCATTTCCGCGCTTCCGCGCTGAGTTGTTGCAAAGCGTTGCTCTCGCTGAAGCGCTGGCCTCATTTTCGAGCTGCCGCTCGTTCCGAATCGTGCTCCCGCTGCAGCGCTGACCTCTTTCTCACGCTACCGCTCGTTCCGAATCGTGCTCCCGCTGGAGCGCTGGCGTCATTATATCCAGCGTCCAGCGCCATGCCACGGCATGGTTTTCTGGTCCTTTCAAATAGGCCCCAACAATTAGAAAATGACCTCCCGAAGAAACCATCGGAAGTGCTTACACAGTCGGTGTCGATTCGTTTATTTTATGGGCCACAGAAGCCCCTCCCAATCTGGGGCGTCGCCACGCCATGCTATGTCAGGCTACGCGTCCTCATTTCCGCGCTTCCGCGCTGATTTTTTTCAAAGCGTTGCTCTCGCTGAAGCGCTGGCTTCATGTTCGAGCTACCGCTCGTTCCGAATCGTGCTCCCGCTGCAGCGCTGGCCTCTGTCTTGCGCTTCCGCTCGTTCCGAATCGTGCTCCCGCTGCAGCGCTGGCGTCATTATTTCCAGCGCCATGCCACGTCATGGTTTCCGGTCCTTGAATAGGCCCCAACAATTAGAAAATGGCCTCCCGAAGAAACCATCGGAAGTGCTTACACAGTCGGTGTCGATTCGTTTATTTTATGGGCCGCAGAAGCCCCCCCCCCACCTTGGGGCGTCTCCACGCCATGCTATGTCATGATACGCGCTGATCTTCGACACCATGCTATGCAATGTGATGCTATGCCATGTTACGACATCCGATTGTGCGAAAAGAAAGGGATGGGAGGGAGGGGTAGGACGTCAGATATGACGCGAGCGCACCTAGATTGTCCTCACCCCCTCCCTCCTCTCCTCGTGTTTTCATCCTTGTCATTCTGGCACACCGCTCACACGTTCCGTGGCCCCATAAAGTGCTCCGCCGAAGGCTCCAGAGGCAGGGTTCGCATGTGTACTCGGGTCTATACCAGCACACCCCTCAAACGTCTCGTGGCCCCATCGAGATCACCGCCGAAGGTTCCAGTGGCAGGGCTCGCATGCGTACTCGGGCTCATTTTTGGTACAGCCCTCACACGCTTCGTGGCCCCATAGGGAGCTACGCCAAGAGCTCAAGTGGCAGGGTTCGGAGATGGGGGACGCGAGGCGTTGCGAGTTCAAAACGAGGACCCAACACGCAGAGGGTTAGGAAAAAACACTTGTCTTTTGTCCCCCCCCCTCTCCGGCTCCTCCTGCGGCCCGCCATCCCCCCTGCCCTCAGGCGGGCGAGCGGAACGGCAAGAGCGGAGGAGTTGGAGGCGGGCCGTGCGAACGACGCTTGCGCGAGATGGCACATGGACTGTGCGCGGCGGCCTACGCAGGCCGCGCCGGCGCGGCACGCTGCGCTGGAAACGAGGGCACCCGCGCGCGGCCGTGCGCGCGCAGCTCGCGCGCAGGTGTGGGCACAACCGACTCCTTTGTTCTGCGCCGCTTACGTGAGGCAGCGGCGGCTCTCCCACTCGGCCCAGCGAATCTGAGCAGAACTGGTCCATGGACCCCCATCCCCGAGTACATCCGGGCCCGTGTTGCGAGGCGGACCCCGCCGTGGCGACGAGCAGCTTCCAGGAGGCGTCCCGAGTACATCCGGGCCCGTTCTGCGATGCGGGCCCAGCCGTGGCGACCGAACAGCTTCCAGGAGGCCCACCACGGACGGAAGACGCCCTGGGAGGGCCGCCGCACTCGAATGGCCCTCCTCCGAAAAAACGCGAGGCGTACAGTGGAGGCCCGACCACGAGAAACCTTCCACAAGAAACTCAACCCTGAGACCCCAGGACGACCCTTGATTTTCTGCGTGGGGGCGTCGCGTTTTTTATCGCAAAACCATCGAAACCCGAGAAACCTAGGCACCCTGGAGGTAAGCAGGGTGTTTCTTGGCATGGGCCCTCACTGCAAATGAGAGGACGAGCGACAAAGAGGGGGAACCGGCAGGGAGCAGGAGGCGGACGAGGAGCACGGGAGGGCAGCAGCGCGGGAGAGCAGCAGGACGACCAAGCAGCAGCACCCCGCAGGCGAACCGAGGGAGCGGCGCCTCGGAGAGCTCGGTCGTCGACCCCAGCGCAACGAACGCGAAGGGCGGGGCGCCCCTGCGGGGCGCCAGCAGCAGCACTGCCCCGCGTAGCTCGAGCCAGGCCGCCTCCTCTCGGGGGGGACGCGTCCCAGAATCGAATCGATAAGTCGGATCGGCGGTCGACATGAACCGGTAGGCCGCTCGAAGACGTGATACATCCCCCTGTGCGACCCAAGCGCTGGTGGACGCTCTAAGTCGCCATTCGGCGTTCCCTGAGCGCTGCTCGGCGCTGTCCGCCACTCGTCTAGGCGAAGCTCGAGACACAACAGAAGCCCTGGCGACAGAGGCGAAAGAGGGGGAGAAAAGGGCGGGAAAGAACCGAAGAAGGCTATGGAGTCCAAGGGTTCCCCCCAGTTTAAACGGCTCGTTTCTGCAATGACGCATCATGCCATTTCGCTCACAACCTTCCCGCGCATGCACTAACAGGTGAACTGCTACATTCAGTGGGGGGCATTTTTGCTACCACGTGCCACTCGTCTAGGCGAAGCTCGAGACACACCAGAAGCCCAAGACCCCACAGGGTTCACTGGGAGGGTGCGGCGGGCTATAAGAGGAATGCCGCCTCAAGATCCCTGTGGCGGCTCAGCAAACAATTCACCACGCAATCAACTAATTTTGTCGGGCACGACGCGGCAAGGGGAATCCACGTGGCCCCCAACGCGTGGCTTCCCCGAGGCCGAACAAATCCCGCCAAAGCTTCGGCAACGCTTATCCAGCTTTGAAGTGTCCTGGGGATGAACGCCGAAAAAAATAAAAGCTTTGCGCGCGTCCTCCAACGGACCCCGAACTGACACTGATCACAACTGCTACTGTGCATGTCACGTTGTTTAGCCAAGCTTTGCAACTGCTCTGTGTGCCAAATTATACTGTTGATGGGATGCTCCAGCACAAAAGGGGTGCCAGCCCGCACGAGGCATCTCATCGAGGTCAGAGCGGCTCGACCTGGCCGGCGGCCACTGTCCGCCGCCGTGCCCCAAGACGCACGAGAGGACCGAGTGAAGCGGCGATGACTTCTCCGCGGGCAATAGCTTTCCGAATTCTAGCAGCCACGACTGGACGCGTTAAATCATCATCGGTGCCGTTCTGAACATCAAAACCGCGGTAATTGAAACCCCGCCTGATGGCGGCTTGTCCGATCGAATCTGAACCCGAGAACAGATCTAAGATGTATTTTCGCTGGCGGCCCAGCCGCCTCGCTGGGCAATCACCCCTGCACCTTTTCCGATCAGCATGTCCTCGAGTCGACTTTCGAGGCCGGCAGCTGGCCCCGCGACTGTCCGAGCCGAGCTGCCTTCTCATCTCTGCATCGACTTTGCATGTTCCCACTGCCCCCGTTTGTGTATCTCCTCGAGCCGTCTGCAGTGCCTGGCCACGCCTATACTCGGACCTGGATGTCGAGCCTGGCACGGAACAATATGCCGCTCGACACCCAGGCCCTGCAGCGCCATCCGAAACATCTCCAGGAACTGAGGGGAACTGAAGTCCCAGACCTTTTCTTCTGGGGCCCCCTGCGCGTGCTCGCGGACGATGGGCGTGGCGCGCTGAAACCAGCCGCTGCCCAGCATCACTCCAACGTCTGCCAGACCCATCTTGCCGCGCAGCGGCTTGCTGTCCGGGCAGAGGAGCAGCGACCGCCAGCGGCGCGCTCTGGGCGCCGGCGCGACGACGCTGCCGCGCGTCAAGGAGAGCAGGTGGCTGGGTCGGAAGTAGCCCCGGACCACGGCGAGCAGGAAGATGGCCATCTGCAGCGCCCCACGCGACACCATGCGCCGAGCCAGCCCGCGCCAGAGGGCCAGCGGCCAGGCCCGGCGGCCCCGCCCCGGCGCCAGCTTGCGACAGCCCCGGAGGCAACGCCAAGCTCGCGGCGTCTTGTACTCGCCCTGCTTCGAATACTCTGGGAACCAGTACATCAAGGCCGCCATCACCTGGTCGCCCTTCGACGACTCGTGGCCGCTGAAGAACAACGCGTTCATGTAGTCCACGAGGGCCTCGTCCACCTGCGCGGGCGAGCGCAGCAGGCGGTGCGGCTCCGCGTCGCAGAACCCCAGGAAGGCGTCCAGCTCCAGACCGCACCGCCTCCGCGCGGGTGCAAACGCGGACCGTCGCTCCAGAAAGGTCTGGCCGTCCGCCGCTGCGCTGTCATGCAGCGCCTCCGCTCCGTAGGTATTATTCCTCTTTGCGGCGCGCCTCTGCAGCTGCTTCTCGCGCCACTCGCCGGCTTGCGCGACCTGCTGCTCCTCGGAGGTGCTGCTGTCGCCGTCGCTATCGGCCATTATCTGGCGCTGCCAGTCCTTGGGGACGGCCAGCAGGTCCGCGCCCCGCTCTGGGAGCCGAGGCGTCGGCGGCAGCGCAGCCGAGCTCAGCGAGCCTTCCAGTCTCGCGACCGCTGGGCCGCCGACAGTGTCTTCTGGCGGCGCGGCGCCGGGGTCAGCCCTGCGCTCGTCGGAGCAGGCCGCGGCAGCTGCGGGGGCCTTGCCCCGGCCGGCACCTGCGCAGGCCGCTCCAGCTGGCGCCTCCGCACGGTCGCGGGCACGGGCGCGGGCAGCGGCTCCGCCCGCGCAAGCTCCCGCCGCCGCGTGAGAGGCGGGCCGAGGGTCAGAAGGCTTGGCCCTATCAAACGGTCGAGCCGAAATTGGATACGAGGACGTCAGGCAGCACTCAGAATAAGAGCTGACTCTGTGAAAGGGGGCCGAGACCCGAGGAGCCTGGCTCGACGCTCCGAGAGGTAAACAATCCGGGAGTTCGCACAACGAGGGAGACTTCGACCGCAGATTCAGGACTCGGTGCCTGATTGAAAGCGAAGGGAGCGAGAACCCTGAGGAAACCCTGTAAAAAAGATATTCCGTTGAAGGTAAAGTATCAAGCAACTGTGAACCGAGGGAATCCTTGGCCCCTTTTATGTCAAATATTGTAGACCCATAGTCGGCTGGATTAAATTCGGAGGGAACCCATGACAGACACTTGCGCGTTCCTCGCGAGACAGTCGGCATGGAACCTGCGGGTCTGGGCGAGAAGGGCGAACTCCTTTGCTCGACACCTGCAACATATAACACGACTGACATGTAATCCGACAGAAACAGTTGGCGGCCGGCAGCCCCGAACACTGACTGGGCGATGCGACGGGCGCCCATCGACAGCGCTCGGGCTTCCTTGATAAGGGTGCCCTCCTCGGACCTCCAGCGCTGCACCTGCTTAGTGCGCCTGCGGCTGCTCGCAAGCCCCGCCGCGGGCACCTCCAAGCAGCGGCCAGCTCCGCGTCGTCGTCCGCGCCGGCCAGCCGCCGCTCGCCGCCGCCGCCCCGTCAGAAGCCCGCCGCCACCAGCGCAGCTTCGCGGGCCCCGCGGCGGGCTGCGGGGAGGCCGCCGCCCTCAGCCGCCAGCGGCCCAGCGGCGACCTCGCGGAAGCGGGCCCTCTCCTGCGCGCGGCCTGCCTCGGCCGCCATGCTGTGGGGCCAGCGGGCGGTAGATGCTGCTCCTGCCTCCAGGCTGCTGTCGGTGGCCACCGCCAGTTTGTTCCACTGCAGCGCCCAGTCGCTCTCCAGGAAGATCAGCAGGCCTCGGAACACCTCCAGCTCCATGCGGGTCTCCGGCCAGACCGTCGCGGGTGCGGAGTAGAACTTCCTCATGAAAGCGTAGACTGCGCGGAAGACGCTAAGGGCACCGCGTGCCAGCAGCCCAGCGCAAGCGCAGTGGCCCACCAGGACCTCCGCGGCCCAGCCCGCCAGAAGACGTCTGCGAAGTAACCCGGTGATCGCCTGCCTGATCAGCCACAAGCGCTTAGGGTTGTCCACGCAGACGCAATGGGCAGCATGGCCGACAGGGCCCGCCGGGCCAAAGACGGGCGGCCTGCCTCTGTCAGAGGGCTCTGCGCCAGATGGGGGCAAATCTCCATCACCTTGCAATCGTTGATGCGCTGCGCGGCCCACGGGCCCCAGGTGAAGCCCATCGGGAAGACCCCCCCAGAAGGGGCTCACCAGGTCATGTCGCTCCAGCGAGCAGCCCTCCAAGAGCTGGCCCTCGACGCCCAGGGCGAAGGCGGGGGCCTCGGGGGGGGGGGTGCTCGGCGAGCCAGCTCGGGAGTCGCAGACGGCGAAAGCAGTCCTTGACGTCCGCGAGCCCCAAGTGGAGTTTGCAGCCCTGCAAGAGCTGCTGCGCCTCTGGGCTCCAGGGGCCCATGCCCTCGGGCAAGGCGAACTCCACTCGGCGGAGGCCCTCCGCGCTGAGGAGCTCCGCGCCAGGCGGGGCCTTGAAGAGCTCGTTAGCAGGCCGCGCGTCCAGGATGAGGCGCAGCCGCTTCCCGCTGCCCATCTCTGCGAAGAAGAGGCCCACCAGGCAGCGGGGGCGGCCCGTCCACATCAGCAGGCCACGGCGCCGCAGGTCGGCGACACAATGTCGATATGTCTTGGCGCTCCGCTTCAGCGCCGGGTCGAAATGCGGCGTCGCAGCTGGCGTCGGGCTTCCGTCGCGCAGCATGCGCTCGGGGTGCTCCTTCAGGAAGCGCTGGACCTCGGGGGGGCCACGTCCTCAAACGGCGGGTGCCCCTCCACTGTCTCGGGCAAAGAGACGAGGTCCTTTCTGGAGGGCGCGACGCGGGTGAGGCAACCCGCCCGGTCGCACGGTGGACGCCCTCGCAGCAGCCGGCGGACGGCCGCGCGCTCACTGAGAGCATCTGGACCCCGGTACCGCCGCGAGGCCAACTCGCAGATCCGCTCCAACATTTCGAGCTGCATCGGATCGGGGTCGAAGCGCGCCAGTCCGTTCCGAAAGCCCGCGAGCCAGTTCTGTGCGCCCACCGTCCCGCTGCCCATCCCCAGCGCCAGCCGCTCGCGCCGCCAGAGGGCTCGACCCCGGATGGGGTCGTCGCCTAGCAGACTCGGCAGGCGCCAGCGAGGCAGCGGAAACAGCTCCCTGGCGAAACGCGAGGCGGCAAGCTGGCCCCGCTCTACTCTGGAGTTTTGGCTAGGGACGGGGTTCCCCCCGGCCGCGGGGGCCGCCGTGGCCCCTTCGGGGGGGGGGGGGGGGGGCATCGCCCCCCCCCGAGCCTTCCTTCCCACCTGGCGGCGGTCGCCCTGGCCTGCCACTGCCGTCGGGGACCCTACTCGGCCTGGCGCTGCGGTCCCTCCCCGAAGGCGAGCGCCGACTGGGCCTCCCGTTGCTCCTTGATTTTCCTGGTGGCGAACTGCAGCAGCGCCTGCCCTTCAATGTCACCCGAGGAGGCCGCGCCCGTGTAGAGCCGCGCGCGCCCGCGGACGGGCTTGGCTGGGTCCGAGCGCACCGCCGCCAGGCCCGCCGCGCGGCGCGCTGCCTTCTCGAAGCGCATCAAGCCCCCCAGGTTCGCCAGGTCGTACACGGCGGCCCAATAGGGAGGATGTCGCACAACACCCTCAACTCGTGGGCCACCCGGTCGTTCTCCCCCAGGCCCTTCGACCTCAGGAAGTCGCGGAGCCACAGCCGCGGGCCCCCATTCGTGCGCCCCGTATTCTTGCAGACCGTCGAGGCCGACGCGGGGCCCTCCATCGGCTGGTCGGGGAAGACCTCCTGGGCCGACTCGCGACACGCCGCCCTCAAGAACTTGAACCTCTCCCCCTGCGGGTCGAAATCCACCTCGATGACACGCAGGTCTCCTCCTGGAGACGCGCCGTCGGCCGCAGCATCCCCGCCGGACAGCGCCGAACGGCCCAGGGGCTCGCGGCGGTCCGCGGGGGCTGACATCTCGGGGCTCGGGAAGTCGCCCTCGCCACGGCGTCGCGCCGCATAGCCCGGCAGGTCCTCCGCCAGCAGCGCCTCCACTCGGCGAAGGCCCTCGTCGAAAGCGAACAAGGCCACCAGCGCAGTCCCTGGGACGAAGCGCGCGTCGGACCGATCCACCGCGGTGCTGACGGCGGCGCTCGCGGTCGGCTCGGCCACCACCCAGGTGCAGTCGTCCGCCAACGGCGCAGGGGGCTGCTTGCCACGCAGCCGATGCGCTCCTGGGCGCGGCTCGCGGCCGAAACAGTCGGCCCAGGCCAGGAGCTCGCCGTCGGCGGTCGCCACCTCCAGCGGCTCCGCAGGCGCGATCCCATGAAGACGCGCCTCGACCATCGCGCGGCCGCGTTCGATGGCTGCCCGTAGCTCGGGCGCCCTGAAGCGGTAGATCGGGCGCGGCCAATCTGGCGGGGCGCTGCCGTCCGCAGGCATCAACGCAGCTCCCTCGGGGCCCGAGGCTGGATCCGCGCCCGTGGAGTCCTCCTCGTATTCGTCATCGTCCGGCGTGCGGGCCGCCCACGTGCCCGGGGGCACGCTCGTGGGGGACGGGGTCGTCACTGTAGCGGACGACGAATCGCTGCCCGGGAACCAAGCGCCTCCACCACTCCAGCCCCGCGTCGCGCGGGAGCAGCGCCATCCTTCACGGACGCGTGCGTCTCTGCAGCCCCGCGAGCTCCACCACACCAGCGCCGAGCGCAACGGCCCACCTCCAGCAGCAGCGCCACCAGCAAGCCAGGGGCACCCGCCACGAGGACGCCCACGGGGTCCTCCTCCGCCGCCACCGGCGCGGGGTCCACCGAAGGGCAGACCGCAGGCGCCGCTGGGCAGGAGGGAGCCTCCAGACACGGCAGGCAGGCCTCGCCCGGGTCCTCGGGCGGCAGCCACGCGGGAGGGCACACCGCCTCCAGCACGCAGGGTGGGATCCCCGATGGTGTGCCAGGAAGATGGAGGGGCCGCGAAACCAGGTGGAGCACTCCCAGGGCGAGGACCGCCCAGGGTCCAAGAGGCCCCTGGGCCATGTCGAACCGAAAAAGGCTATGGAGTCCAAGGGTCCCCCCAGTTTAAACGGTTCGTTTCTGCAATGACGCATCATGTCATTTCGATCACAACCTTCCCGTGCACGCACTGACACGCTCAGCCCAAGACGAGCGTAAACCTTCCGCAAATTACTACCCGAAGGAGGGGGTCGGGCGAAGAGTCCGATCCTGGCCAGGCCCATCCTCTGCCCAGGATCTGTGTGTATGCCTCCATGGCCAAGCTGGGAGCGCGCGCCCGCCAGGGCGCTGGCGGATGGAAGATCGTTGAGCAGGGACCGACCGTCCCGGCATCTCTATAGGACTACCACGACATGTTCTTAGAACCCAGAAATGCTCTTAGAACAGAACCAATGTTCTTAGAACAAAAAGCCGATGTGTTACAGCAAGACAGACTCAACCAGACATGTTCTTAGAACATTCCGTGAAAACCACAAGAGGTTCTGAGAAAATTCTTTGGTGGACCTATAGACGAGCCAGGACGCTTCGCCACTGCTTGAGGCTGCAGGCCAAAGATTGTAGGATGAATCGCCCCAGAGCGGTCTGGAACGCTCTCATTGCGTTCAGGAGCGCCCCTGGACCGGCCGCGGCGCCCGTCCTCCAGACCCGGCGGATCTCCAAGAGCCCCGCGGGATCCCATCGGGGCTGGACCTACACGCTATTTTTCGTTATGGTTCCGTTTTGCTGTTCATTTTGCTGTTCCTCCCTGCCAGAACGGAGAAACAAAACACAGCCGAAGCCCTGCAAAACAGCGTGTAGGTCCAGCCCTGAATCCCGTTTCGTCCCGATCCCGGCTTGGTTTCAGAGGGGCGGGGGAACAAGAAGAAGGGCGGCTCCTGGATCCTGGGCCTCTTCTCGATGACCCTCAGGACGTTTGTTAGCCCAAGCGTGACTTCACCCCGTTCGGTTTCGCCGATAGCGCGCAGCCTGTGTCGGCCCCTCCTTGCACCACCGACGCTGTATTGTTGAAGGGCCTCGGTGTACAAACACACGTTGGCGCTAACACACGTTCTGAGGATCGTCGATCCTCCCCGGGGCCAACTCTTCACCCCGAGCCACTTTCTGACGGGCCCTCGGGGCCACAAAGAGCCCGGGGCCCAAACACGGCCCAGAGCTCCAGGATCCACCTCCCTCGGGCGAGGCTGGCGCCGTCCAAGCCTCCGGAAGGAGGGAGGGAGGGAGGAGGGAGGAATCGAATCGAATCGAGCTCTGGGGGCACGAAGTCAGATCGTCCACTCGTGAGAAGCCTGGGCCACTCCTGGTATATATTCGTACGAGGAGGGAGGAGGGAGCAAGGAGGAAAGCAGCAGGAAGAGGAGGCCGCTTGAGAGCCCCCGACGGATTCTCGGCGCCCCCGATCCCTCGCGCAGAGGCTCGGGGCGGCCCTCCTGTTTGTCTGGGCGCCCGCAGTGGGTACGTTGTCCAAAACCGTGGGCAACCGGCCTGCTGCCTCAAATGGACAACGTCCGCGAGGCCGCGCACGAACGAACGGAGCAGCCACACGCAAAAAAAGCGCGTGGGCCAGGACGAACGCGTGCAAACAAAAAGTTACGCCGAGCAGCCTGCCGAAGTGCAGAGACACGTCCGCGAGGCCGCGGATACGGAGGGAGGAGGAGGAGGAGAAAGAGGAGGAGGAGGAGGAGGAGGAGGAGGAGGAGGAGGAGGAGGAGGGGATATTATGATCTGTGTTTTCACGCAGCCTCGTCCCTGTCAAAGGGGTTGTGGTGACCGAAGCTGCACCCGCCACTCCGCCCGCCGACCACGCCCGTCTGTGACCGAAGCGTGTGGGGCCCGAGACCACTACGATTTTCAGTGCCGGTTACGAGTTCGGTCGCGCTACGTTTATCGGTCGACTTCGGGCACGTCTTCGGCCGATTTCGGGCACGCCTTCGTTCGCCTTTATTCCTGACCATCCTGTGGTGTCGGGCCCTCGTTTTGAATCGGCAGCGCCCCGCGTCACCCCCATCCTTCCTCCTCCCCCCCCTCCCTCCTCCTATCCCTGCTTCTGCCCGCCGCAAGACCATTTCGGCACATCCCTCTCGCGTTTCGTGGTCCCATAGGGGGCTCCGACCAGGGCTCCAGTGGCAGGGTTCGCATGCGTCTTCCCCGCCACGGCACGCCCCTCGCACGCTTCGTGGCATCATAAGAAGCTCCACCCGAAGCCCCAGAGGCAGAAATTGCATCCGTCTCCCCGCCCATTACGGCACACCCCTCGCACGCTTCGTGGTCTCGTAGGGAGCTCCACCCGAGGCCCCAATGGCCGTCTTTGTATTCTTTTTCCCGCCCACAACAGCACACCCCTCCCACGCTTCCTGGCACCACAAGGGGCTCCGCCCAGGGCCCAAGTGGCAAGATTCGCATGCGGCTTCCCCACCCATTTTGCCACGCACCTCACACGCTTCGTGGCCGCATAGTGGGCTCCAGCGAAGGCCCCAGTGCACAGTTCGCAAGAGGTCCGTCCCCTCGCCCCTGTCTGCACAACCCCTCACACATCTCGCCGTCCCGTGCGGAGCTCCACCGTAGACGATTCTAATTAACAACTGCGGCACTCGCAAATGCACATGGTTGGGCCTTTCCCCAAGATTTGCTTTCCGTCCACGTACCGTTTGTTCTCTTTCGCCCGCGGCATCTACTTCGACCCCTTTGTGGGAGCTGAGGTCCGGGGTTGAGCAGGGACCGACCGTCCCGCCATTCCTATAGGCCTACTACGACATGTTCTTAGAGCCCAAGAGTGTTCTGAGAACAGAAACGGTGCTCTTAGAACATACGCCCGATGTGCTAAAACATGACAGGCCCAGCCAGAAAGGTTCTAAGAACATGTCGTCGAAACCACACAAGGTCCTCCGTGAGCCGGGACGCTTCGCCACTGCGTGACAGGGGCGCTCCTCCGGCGCCGAGCCCGGGCCCGCGGCGGCCTCCGCGCCGGCGGCGGCCTCGGCGGCCTCCGCGCCGGGTCGCGGGGCCGCCTCCGCGGGCGGCCGCGCGCTGGCCCGCGCGCCCTCCAGGAGGGGCGCGGACCTGGCGGGGGGCGCGGCGGGGGGCGGAGGGAAGTACTCGCGTGATGATCTTGATCTACCCGGACCCCAGAAGGCATGGCTGTCCATGGAAAACAGAGGCTGCCAGCGCTCTGCCGCCAGTCGATGATGAGGCGCGAGTGCGTCGCAGAGCGGGAGGGGGGTGCTGGGAAGGGGCATGCCTCTCCTGATTTGCGCCCGATATGAGGCGCAGCGGGGGGGCAGAGGAAGTCGGGGACGCACTGGCTAGAGGCCCCCCAGTCGGGGTCGGAGTGAATGCGGTCGGAGGATCTCGCCGCATCGCCGCTGCATCGCCGCTGCATCGACGATGCATCGTCGATTCATCGGCGATGCATCGGCGACGTCGACGATGCAGCGGCGACGTAAGCGTTCCACATCGACCCACATCGCCGATGCATCGGCGATGCGGCGCGATCCTCGGACCCCATCCACTCCGACCCCATCTGGGAGGGCTAGAACTGGCCCAGGTCAACGGGGTCAGCGCTAACTCACGTATCCGTGTCTCTACCAGCAAGGGTGTAGTGACCGAAACCGTTGCCCGAGCATCGGCCCGATTGTGACCGAAACGGGCACCCGAAGTTTGCCGAACGTGCCAGGATGTGACAAATTGTTGCTGCTCAGATTCAATATGATGTTCAATTGCGGTGCTAGTGTCGGTGACAATACACTTTCGGCCACAACTTCGGGCACATGTTCGGTCATTGACTTTGTTCGGTCGTGTCCGTTTCGGCTGATGGGGCCCGGCGCTATGATAATGCGGCTCAACCAATGCCACATCGTGAACCCTGGCCAGCCGCAGAATAGCTCCCAAACCAGGGTCAGCTGAGGGAGGGGTGGCAGGGTCGGCTTCACGCGAACCTCAAACCAGGGCTGGACCTAAACGTTGGTTTTCGTTTTGTTGTTCTTTTGTCTTCCTGTACCTCCCTCCCAAAACGAAAAACAAAACACAGCCGAAGTCCAGCCCGGGTCAGCCAGAGAGGATTGCAAAGGATTTCCTGACCCACGTCAGCGCTGACTCACGTCACGTGCGCCGCGAAGAAGGAGCTGGGGCGGGGGCCAGGGGTGAGAGGGGTGCGCATAAGCTATCACCGTCGGCGTTGCTCGCAAGGGCGAGTGGGGAACACACAGCTTTTCTGCAACTCCGGGCCCCCGCGCAGGACGACGACGACGACGACGACAACGAAGACGACGACGACGACAACGAGCGGTGGAGGCGAGCGGCGGAGATCGCGACGACGCCGACGACGGCCACCACCAGCGGCGGCGACCAGCGGCGGCGACGGGACGACGACGACGAGCGCCAGCGGAACCGGCGGAGGTGACGACCCCCGGAGGTCCCCGGAGGGCCTTGCGGACCTAGCGCGTTGCGGACCTAGCGCGGGGTGCGGCGAGGGGGCGGAGAGAAGTACGAGGACGGAACCGTTTGTGGCGACTCATGGGGGCCTCCGATGTTGTCCTGGTGGCTCTGGCGAATCGACACTAAATAACGCTGATCGACGCTATGCGGCGCCGAATCGACGCTCGACGCTGAATCGGCTATTCTCATCGAGTACAAGACGAGGCGCGCACGCTGAGCCATTCTAAACGAGGACATGGCGGCTCACATGGGTTTCTGTCGAAGGCACCCATGCACCGCAGAATGCTTTGAATTCCCTGGGGCCCCGCCCCAGCGGCGAGGGGGCGGAGAGAAATACAGGAAGGGTGTTAGTTGCGTGACTATCTACCCCCAACCAAGACAAAGGCATGACTGCCATGTTGGACATATTTTACCAACACTCTGCCACCACATTGTAAATTACGATTCGCGTCTACATCGCCGAGCTGGGAAGGGGGGTTGGGAAGGAATATGCCACTCATTCACAACAATTGTGTAGATCGGACTCACGTCGGAACATCGCTGGGCGAATGTCGCCCCAGATTCGACGGGTCGCACTTGTGGGCTAGATCATGCAACTATTTCGCGCCGCGCGAGGCCTCCAAGTTTCTCCTCTGAGGCAGCGCGCCACGTTTGGAACCCCGTCGGGCCCCGCCCCAACGCGGTACGCAGGCGGTTCCTCCATCATGATCGGCTCCTGCATGTCGTCGTTCGCGCCCTCGCTGGCGTTGGTGAATCAGCATGGAAAGAAACACACAGACACAAGTCATCGTCGATTCCTAGGAAAACATTGGAAAATATGGGAAGGGGGGGGAAGACAAAGACCCAGAAAATATTGGAAACTATGGGGAATCCGGCTATTTGTGTATATTTACTTGTGTGTCCCAGGGCCCCTTCGGTGAGGTCGCCCCCGTCCTCGCCGCCGCCAGCGCTGCCGCACGCTTCTGCCAAGGCCGCGGGGCCGCCGGGCGGCCGCAGCTGCGCTCCCGACCGCGGCCCGCGGCCTCCGCGGGGTGCCGCGGCAGCGGTTCCAGCGACGAGGTGGATACCAACCAGCACGCCTCCCCCAAATTATCCTGCTTGCTGGTGCCGTCCTGATCTGACGGGTCCCTGGGACACACAAGTAAATACACGCAGAGAACAGGATTCCCCAGATTTTCCAATAGTTACTGGGTTTTCGTCTTCCCTATATTTTCCCAGAATTTCTGGGGAATCGACGATTCATTGTGTCTGTGTCTTTTCCCTGCTGATAATCGCTGCGCTTCTCGCCGGCCGCTCATTTCGCCAAATGCAATTCCTCTCGTTGGCTCCTTTGTCCTTCGCCCGAAGGTTCATTCGCCGCTGGGTCGACGGGTGGCCACAGCGGCACCCCCGACTGCGCCGTCGGGCACGCCGCGGGCCTCCTCCGGCCCCTGCCGCGGGCCGCGTTCGCTGTCGCCGCCGAGACTCGGGCCCCGCAGCGCCGCTCACCCAGCGCTTTTGCTTTCTTTCCTCTTCGCACCATGAGCAGCTCCACGTGCGCCCTGCCAGGCCCATGCTGCGACAGTCGCCAGGATGCGGGGTGAGCGCTGGCCACGCCTGGGAGTCCTGCTTGCCGCCGAATTGCCTTCCTCGCCTGGCGGGCGCGCCGCCCTTTTTTTCTTAGTGGGCGACGCCCTGTCGGGCTTCTGCGCGCCGCTCGACAGCCCGGCGCTGACGTTGGCGATGTGGCGCGCAACCTGCCTGATCTGCCTGGGCATGGCCTGAGCGCGAGTGACCGCGGGCCAATCGACGACGCGCAGGTCCGCGCCGCGGTTGACCGCGGCGTCGGCCCAGTCGCTGCGGTAAACGCCCGCGCCATGGTGACCTTTCGACGTGCATCGCGGACGCTCTTTCTATTCCTGCCCGGTCAAGGTACTGATGCCACATGGGCCCCCGCGTCCGGATTCGCGCGCGGCGGGGCCATGGCCCGAGCCATCTTTGGCTCCAAATCCTCGGCGAGCGGCAGGCGGCACCGCGACCCGCAATGCCTTCAAAGCAGCTCACAACTCCGCCATTACCCCACAGCTCGCTGCAACCCACGCCGCGCGTGGCCGAGGAGCGCGCCGCGCACGCCCGCGACCGCCTGCCCGTTGAGAATCGTCACGAAGCCCCAACCAGCGCGGTTCGCCTCGGGCAAAGACCAACGCCTCCGACAGCTCCCGTTTCAGCAGACGCCCCCTGCGATAGGGTCGCTAAGGCGCACGTGCCTGCGCCTCCGCGCCACGCTGTCATCTCTCGGGGATATACGCGGCAGCTCCGCTCGCGGCATCAGGGCCCTCGACCGGCCGCGGCCGTCGCCCGGCGCGCCCCGCGCGACCTCGCGCCCAAAACTGCGGCCGCGAACTTCTGCGGCGCAGCGGCGCCAGAAGGGGTGATGTAGCGCGCCGATCTGGCCGTGTACTAGGCGTTTCTCGTGGCTGGCGCGCGCGCGCGGGCAATCGTCTGCAAACTAGCTCCAATGCGCCCCCATGACGACCAACCTGGGCGAGTCCTTGGCAACGGCGCAAACTTCCAATGGTCACCCCGATTCGGCCGAGTCCCGATCCAGTGGCCTTCGACCGGCCTGGATGGCGAGGCCCCCCCTGGCACCGCGTCGGTCTGGGTCGCCCACTCGCGCCGTCTAGACTGCGCTGCGTCTCTCGCCAACAGCGTTCGCACTGTGGGCGGCGCCAAGCGATCGAAGTGCGCCGCCTCGCCCTTGCGCGTTCCCCGCGCGGCTGGCAAGGGCGGGGCCGAGGTTTGGCGTGAAATCCTCGTCGACCGTGGCTTATTATCTAGGAATGAAAACCTAGGTTCGCCATCTGTAGGTGATGTCCCGTGGGTTATTGCCCTGCGAAAAGATCGGGCTCGGCCCTTCGACCGGCCGAACCATGATCCTTCCAGAAGAATCAACCGAAAGTAATATTCCAGCACTATGAGCCAAGGTGTATCTCAGGCCGGGCCGCATCCCGAAACGGCGCCCCCTAGGCTCCATCATTATCATTCCAAACAAGTAGCCCGGAGACAATAATCTGGGAACGTTGCGAGTCCGGGTTTATTATCTCCCGGAGATAATGAACCGCGGTCAATATTCCGACATGAAAAACCCGATGGCGAACCCGGGGGTCGGGGGGGGAATCATATTAATTTTCATTCCTGAATGGCGAAAACCGAATTTATTGTTCCGGGGACAGTGAAAACCTCACTCAATACCCCCGAAACATTACGAACCGAGGTTCAAATGTTTTCGGGGTCGATATCCCCAGAACATTATACATATATATAAACAACAAAAAACGATGTGCATTATATTCCGAAGGGGGGCATTATGAACCCCAATCAATAATTAATCCCAGAACACGTGAACCCAGGTTCATAAAGTTCCGGGCGAGACAATATGAACCCGGGTCAAAAATCCCGGAACGTTTTAAGCCCAGTTTCATCTACTTGAGGCCCCTCCTGGCGGGGCCGGCCTGGCGACCCCGGCCGCCGCGGTGGCTCCTGAAGTAGGTCCACAACAACTCCAGCCCGCTTGTTGCCGTCGCCACTCGAGCTCCCCCTTCTGCTTCTCCCGCGCATGCATCTCGACCTGCTCCTCGGCGCCTCCTTCGGCAACCGCGATGGCCCATCGGTGGGGCGGCCCCGCCCGGGCAGCGATCAGCGGGTCGCGGGCGCCGCCCAGACCGGCGAGGAGCCATCTCGACACAGGTGGCGGTGCGCGCCCCCACGCCTCCTGCGCGATGTCCCGCGTCTGCCAGGCCGCCTTCGGCGGGGCACCTGCAGACTCTGGGCCGCGCCCCAGGAGCGCCCGGATCGCCGCCTTTGCGACCTTGCCAAGCCCTCTCCCTGACGTGCGCAGGTGGCGAAAACGCCGTGGCTTGACTTTCGTCTTGTAGGTTCGCTCGCGGATCGCGGCGCGCTCGGTTGGCCAGCCTGCTCCATCGAGCCGACGCAGCGGAGAACCCGCCCCATGAGCAGTCCCACAATCACAGGGTCCGAAATGGCCGGCAGCGCGGGGCCCCCCGCCAACGGCAAGGGCATCTCGCGGCCAACGGCAAGGGCAAGTCGATCCGCATCTCGTGGGCGCGCAGCGCGACGTCCCAGTCGCGGGCGCGCAGGGGCCCGGAGGTCGTCCGCGTAGACGTCGAGCGCGCGTGCCTCCACAGGGCGCCCCGCGTGCCCGCTCGCAGGGCTGGCCAGCGGGCTCAACGTGAACACCTGGAGCAAGCCCGCGGCGAATGCGCATCCTTGTCGCGCGCCTTGCGAAGCCTCGCGCCCATTGAACGCCATTGCGCCCGCGCCAGCCTTTTCGGGACCTGGTGCATGCGCGTGGCCAACCCCAGGATTTGCATGTGGAACTCTGCATGCTTGCCTGCTGTCGCTGAGCCTGCCCGCCGCGCAAAGTCGAATCACGTCCCGATGTCCATGAGAGCGACTATCGCGACGTCGCCCTGCAACTGGCGCGTCCAAGGCGACCAAAGCGCGAGTGGCGACGCCGGCCGTAGCTTTCCCCGAGCCCAGCGCCAGCCATGATAGCTGCTGCGCTGCCCACTGACCCACATGGAGCGCACGCGTTCTCGCCCACATCCGACGCAGCCAACGCGTGAGGGCGATGGTCCAATAACCCATCTCCAAGCTCGGGCTTTTCGCAGCCCTGGCATCATGGCGATGTGCACCATCAACATGTCATTGGTCCAGTGTCCCTCCGCTCCGCCGCATGCAGGAACCCCTACTTCAGCTAACGGCTGGAGCGAGATGAGGCCCGCATGCCGCGGGCAGAAAGCATCTGGCCCCAAGCCTGTCTTCCAAGGGAACGCGCGGGCTGCCGCACTGAGCTGCGTCACCGCCAACGGCCTCGCATCGTCTGTGCTGATGGCGTCGAGGCAATGGCGGAGCTTCATGTGGTGGGCGTCGGCAGGGTCGCCGTCGCACTTAGTCTGGATGTGCCAGACCACGTCAACTGGCACCGCTAAACTATTTCCTCGTACCTCGACCGGGCTCAGCTGCGGACTTCTTTCGGGCTCACTCCGCATGCCCTGTCCCATTTTCTCTGGCGTGCCACGGCTCCGCTTGATGGGTCAGGTCGCCCGGCCACATTTCGAGCGTACCGACGGCCGTCACGTAGACGATATTCGAAACCTTCACCACCAGGCAGGCAACGACATCCGGAACCGCTGCCGTGGGGTTTTTCGGTGGGAGCGTTGTGCGAAACTTTGCCTGTGCATGAGCCACTGGTTGACCGTGAATGATCGCGCGCACGGCGCAGATCATCCACCGCCTGCTGTAGAGCGTGTAATGGCTTCGCAAAGTGCGATGCTGTGGGGTGCGATTTCGCGGGCGCGCCGGCGATCACCCTCTCGACGCACTTGGGCCTTTCAGCCCTCCCCATGTAGGCTGGGCCGTCCTTCGTGTCGTAGAATTGCGGAAGCCTAATCTCCGCACCAGTCGTGACGTCTGCCCTAAAATCGCCGAGTAACTTCATGCGATTACACCGTGCGCGCATGATGTCGTTTACGAACACCGCAACGCGCTCGGGCCAGCGCTTAGCATCCTGAGTCCCCACGACGCACGCCTCGATGTCGGGCTTCCACGTGGGGAATGGTTGGGGGGCAAGATGTTGCAACACACGCAGCTGTGCAAGCTTCCGTGGAATGCGCTTGAGCATCGGGTGAAGCACCGTGGCGGGGTACCCGTCGACTGGTGCCGGCTTGCTCGGAGGTCCACCAGTAGTCCGATTTGGAGTATCTCTACGCGGTGGTCCTGCACGTCCCATCGTCAGCGAGCACCAGCTGCGCCCGCTGCACGTTGGACGCTACCTTCAGGCAGGAGACTCTCAGGCGGCATGTTCCAGTCCCCATCGAATGATGTAGGGCCTAAAATCATATATCAGCGCGTCCGTCATCTTATGGACGCGTGTGGCATTGTCGTCGTTGGGCCCCGCCCATTTCGTGAGGTATACGGATCCGACGATGATACCGTGCTTCATGGCGAAGCACTGCTGCTGCTGCTGATCGCTGTTATTATGATTATGACTATGCACTTGTTTGTGATTGTGTATATGATAGAGATGAGGATGAAGATGAATCTGAAAATGGTGATACTGATGATGACGATGGTGATGACGATGATGATGACGATGATGGTGACGATGGTGATGATGACGATGATGACGATGATGGTGCTGATGCTGATGCTGACGCTGCTGATGATGATGCTGTTAATACGGATGCCGATGGTAATGGTGATGGTGATGGTGATGGCGATGGTGATGGTGATGATGGTGATGATGATGGTGATGATGGTGATGATGATGATGATGCTGATGCTGATGCTGATGCTGATGCTGATGCTGATGATGATGATGATGATGATGATGATGATGATGATGATGATGATGGTGTCTTCCAGTGCGCTCGACAGCAATAGCATGCGACCGCTAAAGCACGAACTCGGGCGTCACTCGCCTAAACCGTTCCGTGGCTTCGCTTGGGAGGCGCAATCGAGACTGAGCCGAAATGGCTGCGTGGGCTGGCCAGTTTCGCCCCCCCTTCGCGGCGGGGGGGAGGGGGGGTGCGAGGGAGGGAGGCAGGAGGGCGGGGGAGGGGCGAGGGAGAGACAGAAGCAGGGCGGAGGGAACGGGGGGTCCAAGGGGGGTGCGCGGGAGGATGGGGGGAGGGGGCAGGAGGCGAAAGCTCGCGGGGGGCGGCCGATTTCCCCCCCCCCCCCCCACGCTGCCTCCCAGCCGCGCTCACGCCACCCATCTCCGCCAGCGCCCGCGGCGACGACTCCGGCCAGGACAGCGCCCGCGCTCCCCTGAGCGAGGCCTCTCGCGGGCGCGCGGCGGGCCGCGCGCTGCCCGGGGGCCTCTGAAAGAGTGGCCGCCCGGCGGTCCCGCCCCTGTCCCTATAATCTCAGGCGCGCTTGTCCTGAGAGTGCTGAGCCTTCCCTGCCCGTCTGCTTCCCCGACCAGAGAGATTGAGAGAGAGAGAGAGCGAAAAACAAAACATAGAGCACTCACAACAGAAACACCACCAACAAAAGCACAAACGACTAGCACACGCTGCACTTATACGTGCCAGATACAATGTTGAACTAAAGAGGGATGCAATGCAGTGCGAGGGCAGTATGGACACGCTACAGCAGAGACGTGGTATATACGCCGATCCGGCGTGTGAGTTTCAAGGAGTCTCAGCTACAGCCTCGAGGCTGAGCCTCAGCCTCTGGGGGGGTTGCCGGGGTGACTCTGCCGGGGAAGGGGGGGTGGGGGTGGGGTGGGGGAAGGGGGGGGGGGCGAGTTTCCGGCGGATGCGTTTTTTGACACCCCTCACAAGGATCGTGGCCTCCGAGGGGGTTCCGAACTCGAATAACACCCCTCCCGCACCAAGAGGCTCCGAGGAGGCCTCCAAGAGGCCCCAAGGGGCGCAGAAGAGGCCCCCAAGAAGCCCCAAGAGGCTCCCAAGAGACCCCCAAGAGGCCCTCTAGTGGCCCCAAGAGGCCCAAGAGGCCCCCAAGAAGCCCCAAGAGGCGCCCAAGAGGCCCCCAGAAGTCCCAGCCAACCACGAGATCCCAACCAGCATCCATGAGGCCTCTGACCCACCACCCACGCACGGTGGCGGGATAGGCCGACGGCCACTGGATCCGCCGCCCCCTGCTTGCAGGGGTGCACGGCGTGCTGGACGTTTCAGGTTTTGGTTTTGGTTCTTTTTCTAAAAGAACTCCCCAGTGGGCTTCGGCCCGTCCCGCCGGCCACCCGTAATTTTCCCAAAATCCGTCTGTCAATGCCTTTGTTGCCCCAACTTGGCCCAAGATGGCCTCCAAGACGGCCAAGATGGCCCAAGATGGCCTCCAAGATGCCTCCCAGACGGCCAAGATGGCCTCCAAGACGGGTAAGATGGCTCCAAGATGCCTCCAAGACGGCCCAAGATGCCCTCCAAGACGGCCAAGATGGCCCCAAGATGCCTCCAAGATGGCCCAAGAGGCCTCCAAGACGTTCTCCAGGAGAGCCCGAAGAGGCCAAAATCATTGGTTTTCCTTAGGTTTTTGAAGGTTTTTTGCGTTTTCTTCTTTTCGGCCTTCCGACGGCCCAAGAGGCCCCCAAGATCGCCCAAGAGGCCTCCAAGAAGGCCCTATGACGGCCCAAGGGCCCCCCAAGACGGCCCCAAGAGCGCCCCAAGACGGCCCAAGAGGCCTCCAAGACGCCCAACATGGCCTCCAAGACGGCCCTGAAGCGCCCCAAGAGGGCCCCAAGACGGCCCAGAGAGGCCCCCAAGACGGCTCCAGACGGCGTCAGACGGACCAGGAACGCCCTAAGACGGCCAAAGAGACCCCCAGGAAGCCCCCAAAGGCCCCCAAGAGGCCCAAGGAGGCCCCCAAGATGCCTCCAAGAGGCCTCGAAGAGGCCCCCAAGAAGCCCCCAACAGACCCCAAGGGTGCCCCAAGAGACTCCTAACAACCCTCATCCTCCTACTCTATTTCTTCCTCTTCCTCTTCCTGTTCATAATCATTCTCTCCCATGTGTTCCCCGAAAGCTTTCCAAACCGACTCGGGGAACTCATGGTCCGATAGCTTGGCCAAGCTCTAGTCCAACTTTCGGCCACATCGGCGTTTCCAAAAAGGCAGGGGGCGGCGGTGATTCGCCGTAGGCGTCTTCGATAAATGCTGAGTGAGAGGAGGGGAGGGAAAAAGAGAGGAGGGACGAGGGCGAAGAAGGATCACATCAGTCGGAGCGCCCCGGATCGGCGGCACTGGCCGAAGGCCACTACAATAGAAAGATGATGTAAGGAGACAAGAAAGGAGGGATAGAGAGAAAGAGCTAGTCAACAATTCAAATAAGAGAGAGAGAGAGAGGAGAGGGGGAGGGAGAGGGAGGAAAAGAGAAAGAGATACAACATCGTGTGGATGTATGGAGAATACAAGTGTAAATCTATACATATATATACTCATGTAGAGAAAGAGGAAACGATAGAGACAGAGAACGAGAAAGATGAGACAACGATAGAGCGAGAGACACACCATGAAACAATACCAACAACAAAAACACCATCAACAACAACACAACAACACACAAACCACAAAATAACGACAAAAAACAACAGCAACGAACAACCACAACACCACCAACAACAGCAACAACAACAACAACAAACACAAACACAAGCACAGCATCACCAACAACAGCAACAACTACAGCAAAAACAACATCAACAACAAAAAGGCCGTGAAGATAGGCCGAGGGGTCGCGAAACGCTGGTCTGCGATGATGATTCCTTGTCCTGTGCGCGCGCTACTTGAAGCGCAGACGGACTCTCTCGTGCCAATTCCCCTCCGGAGCGGCGCCTAAACTCCGGCTCCAAGTCAGCGCTGAGCCCCATGGCTCTGCGAGGACGAGGGATCTTCGGCTGCGCACGAGCGCTCTGCCTGCAGCGGCTGCCTGGGCCTGACTCGATGGTGCAGCTATGCTGCTACCATCTCTCCCACAGCCTCCGCGGGGACAGCAAGCGACCACAACCGCATCGTAAACACACCCTGGGAGATGTCCTTTGCATGCCTACACTCGTCAGAACACCGAAGCCAACTGAGCGCTGGTTGTGGTCGATGTGGCGTCACAGAACGGCCAAATCGGCCACAACCACAACCAACGTGTTCATTTGGACATGGCTGTGATTGTTTGTTGTGCCTGAACCTCGGAGCTGGAGAACGGCAGCAGCCAGCCGACCAGGCCCAGGCAACAGCCTTTCGGGCAGTCTGTCGGCCCAAATTGCACTCCGAAGCAGCTGGCTGGCTCAGCCAGCGGGGGGGGCACAGACTGGCAGAGGCAGCGCAGCCCGCCGCCGTACCTCCGCCGCCTGGCGTGGTGGAGCCCCTGAACCAATAGCAGATGTTGTGGATGCCATGACAATGGACACTCCAACAGTCCTATCATTGAATCAGACTTGTGTTTAAATTGTGTAAGACGTGTTCTAAAAACGTTCAACACATGTTTTTTTTTAACACGTGTTTAACATGTTTGAAACATGTGTTAGACATCTGGAAATTATTTGGCAGCATGCTTCCTCTCCATCAATCCAGATGGCAAAAACACATGGCACAGGTTTCGGAGACAATTCCGTCGCTTACTGGTGGGGTGTGGGGGGCCACTGCAAGCCAGCGTACCGAGCTCGTCAGTCCACTACGTGAGGTCAAGAGAAGACGGATGACATGCTCTCAGGCTTGCTGTGATCGCAGGGGTGACTGGTAGGGGCAGCGGAATTCGTGCCACCAGATTGAGCGTCAATCTACATTATGTCGACATTGTGTGTTTGATGCTGTACTCTATTCAAACTTCTCATTTCTCTGGGGATCCCAGTCGGCGCTGCGGCATTCGGCATGTCATCGGGACGAATAATAGTGATCTCCCTCCCTCACCCCCTCCCTCCTATCCCTCCTCCGCCTCCTTCAAAGGTTCCCACGGCCCCACATGTCATAAGGGTGCACGCCCGACTTGTCCGGCTTATGCTCTGGCCGGGGGACGGGGGGGGCTCTGCTCAGGGGTGGCTGCAACACCGCTCAAAGATGCGCTGTCGAACAAACCTGCGGGGTGGGCCCTTTCAATTTTTACGCGCGCTTCAACTTCGGCTTTGGCTTCAGCTGTGGGCGCACCGTGAAACGACATCGGGCCAACTCACCCAAGTCGGTCTTCCGCCCACATGGTCGCCCCCCCTCCCACCCCACCCCTCCGCCCCCGCCCCTTCCTCGTCTACGGCCTCTTCCGCTTCATCCTCCCCATACATCCCCAGGAGGACAATTTTTTCCTCTTGGGCCCGGAACGACGGCTTGAAGTCTTGAACAGACGCGTATGAGATCAACGCGTAGGAAGTTCGCGCGGAACCAAGTGTGGTTTTGGCGTTTGTTTCGATGGATCTGATTTCCGTCCGCGCGGATTCGATCTCGGATTTGCTGGATCAATTCGGTCGTATTTCTTACGGCGGATCCGATGTGTACCCCGTCTGAAATTCATATTATCAAATTAAAACGGGGGACCAGAAGAAATCGGATCCGCGGACCCCAGAAACCGCCCGTGTTACATTTCTACGGGGGGAAGGGGTTCGGTCATGAACTTCCAGCTCATCATCGCCATTTGCACCTCAAGAAGAAATCTTTCGTCCTGCGTAAGTATCTATCCTTCACCCCCCTCCTCCATGCGGGGAAAACTGCACTACTCAAGATACGGGCGGTAGGGACAAGTTACGGGCCAGACGGCGAAGAGATCAAATACAAGGATCGTGCCATGCTGTTTATCTGGGTGGACTGTCCAGTACCGATGGAAGGCCCGGGAAGAACTCTGCGCCTAAGGGAAGCAAAAGGGACTTCCCGGAAGTTGTCAAGAGCCTGGAGCCATGCCAATATGAGAGGAAAACACAAGACGAGGGTTCTGGAGTTATGCGTCTTCTCGAAATTATTGTAAGGGCCGGAAACTTGTATGCTCTTACAACCAGATAGACACAGGGTCGACAGCTTCCAGGCGAGGTGCTTACGATCAATATTCAAAATCCCACCTTCTTTTGTGCCGCGCGTGATCAACGCAGAAGTTCGTGAGCTTGCGGTGGTCGAACTTTTTATCGACAACCTTACTTGAACGACAACCTAAACTGTGTGGTAAACTTTCCCGGGATGGCCCCAGAAGCTTGCAGAGAGTTTGTGGCGTTTGAGTGTGGTGAAGGCTCTGATGTTCTACCTCGGAAGTCGATGGCGCCGCGGTCCCGAGGGCGCCCTCGTCTGCGGTGGACGAAGTACATGCACGCAACGGCTCTCGTGGTGGCAGGTGGCAACCCTGATTCATTCCAAGCTTGTCTGGTAAGTACACAATTGTGGAGTGAGGCTGTATAGCGATATTGTGCAAAAGTATGGCAGGTTCTTGTGCCCTCTGCCCACTCCCCTGCCCATCTCCCCTCCCCCCTCCCCCGCGTTGCATTCTGTTTCCCCAGCAGCGGGTCACCAGCACAAAATTTCTGGTGAATGCACACCTTCTCGCCCTGCATGCCGCATACGTTTTCGTGAATTGTCCCGCATGTGTGAGTTCGTAGTTTTGCTGCGCCAATGCGCCGTCTAGGTGCGGCTTAGTGCGTACCCCTTTCCTCCGTTTTGACGTTCGGCAACTTGGAGCGACAGCGTCAAAATGGCGACAAAAAGCTGCATGATGCGAATCACCGACTTAGGCACACTGGCCAACAAATTAAGCTGCGAGCCAGTGCAGTCAGCAGAAGGGCCAACAGAGACACTGAAAGACGAGGAGCCGCAAGGGCGCAGAGTATCTATGCGAGTTGCAGGCGGCCGGGGCGTCTGATCTGGATGGGCCCCGAGGAAATCGGTCAAGAAGGGAAGATCAAAACAAATTCGTTCAAAACCGCTCCCCAAACCCATCCCGGGGTCCATCTGGTTTACTTTTTCATCGCGGGTCCGTTATTCACGACCCCGGGGCCCGAAAAAAGGCCCCTGGAGGCCAAAAAGGGCAACGAACCCTTCCGAACCCAGAACCTCGAGCCTCTTCCCCCTCCTCCTGCTCGTCAGAACCAGTGCCGGGCCACCTCAGAGCCCCATCTGGTTCCAGCCTGTGGGGACGAGGAGCACGATCAGAAAGGTGACCTTCCCCCAGGAGAGCCTGGCGATCAAAAAACTCGGATCGGCAGACATCGGCAGCCAAGTCGGGAGAAGTCGAATCGGCAGAAATCGGCAGGCTAGCAGGCCTCCGTTGAGAAATCGGAGCCCGAATCGGAATCCGAAACCACCGAAATCGAATCGATTCGAATCGGAGGAATCGAAATGAGCCCTGAACCTGTGGGGACGAGGGGGAACAAAATCATCATTGGCGGCGGGTGCGGGGGGGAAGTGAGAAGGGGCGGGCCTTTCAGAAGGCTCGGAAGTCCCCCGGCCTTCGGAGGAGACTTCTGAGCTGCCCCCGAGGACAGAGAAAAACCTCTCAGAAAGCGCGAGGGCTTCTGAGAGGCCCCGCCACCTTCTGAGAAGGCTTTCTCCTTCTCACTTCCCCCCCCTCGCCAGCCGCCGAATGTGGTCATTGGGTCATAACTCGGGTCTCCGGTGGCCGTTCGGGACGGCCTGGGCACCCCCGGAACGCCCTCGGCGAGGCGCAGCTGCTGGCAAGCATCCCGAGGCTGAAAATCGCCGAGGACCGATGAAATCGTCCTCAAACCTCGAACCTCGAAGTTCGAAGTTCGAACCCCGAACCTCGAACCTCGACAGAAAGGTGACCTTCCCCTCTCCTCCGCCCCTGCTCCCCATCCCCCGACGCGGCGAGGGCCCGGCCTGCGCTCGCCCCCGGAAGCGGACGCGCGCCCAGCCCTCGCACGAAGGCGCCCTGGGCTGGCGCCCGCACCCAGGGGCCTTCCCTCCTCCTCCGCCTCCGCCTCCGCCTCCGCCTCCGCCTCCGCCTCCGCCTCCTCCTCCTCCTCCTCCTCCTCCTCCTCCTCCTCCTCCTCTGCCTCCTCCTCGGAGCAATTCGGGATGGGTCCACGACCCTAGCATGGTAAAACGGGACGTGGAGAGAAACGACACAGCCATCCGCTGACGTGGTACGCGCGCCGCGCGTGTGCAAATTTCACGAGAAGGCCCACTGCGCCTAATACGCATGCAGATCGTGCAAGAGAGAGCTGTGTGCAGAAGGATGCGATGAAAAATGTCATGCAGGCACGGAGGGCGAGACAATCTGTCGACTCCTCCTCCGAAAACATACGCAGACAACACCCACCGAACGCACGCCGCACACACATGAACATGTGGAAACCCGCCGTCCAACTACCCCAGAGGCCAGGGAACGACTCGAAACATGCTCTCGCTGGACAGGCGATCTAGGTTCCGAACCTTGTCTGGCGAAGAGCTGCCCCTTGTCGGCCCAGGCCCCGAACCTGCGCGCACACTGCGAGGCACGCTGCAGATCCACCGGCTCCGTCAACTCCATCTTGCCGTTGCCCGTGCCCTTTGCTGGCACCTGGCAGAATGTTGGAGGCGAGCACGGCCTGCCAGGTTGGATCGCGATCTTGCCGCCCTCGTGCAAGGCGGTGTGTGGTCGTGCCTTTGCTGCGCTCGTCGTAGCCCTTGCCCTTGCTTCGAGCGGCTCCACCGGAATGGCTACCAGGCAGAATTGGGCGACTCTGCACGTTGGCTCCGTCGGCTGCAGCATGAAAATACCGAAATGGCTGCACCAGCTTGGTGGCTGAATTACACTGTCACCACTAGCACTTCGCACAGCAGTGCTGGGTCCGACGACAGCAGGAGCAGGGTCTTGAAGTTCAGGCCGAGGAGGAGGACCAGCAACCCAGAAGGCCACCTCGGAGAGGCCATCGGACCCCCACCACACAATGCATCATAATCATACGGCGGAGGACAGCGACACGGTACGACGGGAACTCCTTCAACATGTCGCTAGCCTCGCCTTTGCCCACATAATGGCACACGAACCTGTACTTCGCTTTACCTACCAGCTGCCGCTGGAGACAGCACCAAACGAACCTTGCGACCGTGGTCCAGGTGCCTGGCGATCCAGTCCAGGAGACCAAGCACGGGCATCGCAAAACAAAGACGGCTGACAGGCGGGCGGACGAAGCACGGGGTGCGGGATGTGGGAACCGGGATTCAAACGAATGGTAAAAGCTGCCACCCTACAAATGCTTGGGCAACAAGCTCTCGTCCTCCTCCTCCTCCTCCTCCTCCTCCTCCTCCTCCTCCTCCTCCTCCCCCTCTTTTTCTTCTTCGTCTTTTTCTTCCTCCCCCTCCTCCCCCTCCTCCTCCTCTTCTTACCCCTCCTCCTCCTCCTCCTCTTCCTCCTCCTCTTCTTACCCCTCCTCCTCCTCCTCCTCCTCCTCCTCCTCCTCCTCCTCCTCCTCCTTCCCATGCAGGAGGGGGTCACGGGAGGGGATGAGGACGAGTCGCCTGTGCGTCGGCGGCGGCGGGATGGCGAAGAGCGGGCTCCAGATCGCGCCGTATGCCCGATGCATCGGCGATGCGGCACGGTCCTTCGGCCCCGCCTGCTCCGGCCCTGAGGGGGACCTGGGGATGGGGATGGGCCCAGGCCTCTGACGTCCTTTTGGGGGAACAAGAGGATGTCCACACTGCTACTGAGGATGTCCACACTGCTACTCCCTGGCCCTGAGGGGGCCCTCGAGGTGGGGATGGACCCAGACCTCTGACGTCCTGTTGGGGGAAGAAGAGGATGTCCACACTGCTGCTCCCCCGACCTCCTCTCTCAGGATGCGCTCTGACCAGGCTCCCAGGCTGAGTCAAGCCGCGGCGACGAAGCCCCCCAGGAGGCCCGGAATGGCGGAAGCCAGGGAAGGGTGCTGGCATCGGCATCTTGTCGCATCGTTTCCTCTCATGAGTCCTTCCAGCGGCGCGCGCACAGGAATGGGGGCGAGGGGCATGGCCGTCTGCAAAAGACACTACAATAATGCATCGAGGCATCTTTTCGCATCGTTTCCTCTTACGAGTCTTCTAGCGGCGCGCACATAGGAATGGGGGCGAGGGGCATGGCCGGCTGCAAAAGGCACTAGAATGATGCCTCGAGGCCTCGGGTGCCTCCTGGAAGCCCACCCTCATCACACATCCCCTGGGCGCGCGGCCAAGTCGTGATCTCATCAGTTCGGGCGCCTCTCCTCCACATGGGCGTCAAGGGGCCCAGCTGGGCCCCAGAACAACCCAAAACCTTGCTGGAAAAGGTTCAGCGTTGAAGCCCACGGGCTGGAGAAAAGTGATCCGGAGATCTGGGTGTGGGCGGCAGCATGCAGCTGTTCGCCAGGCAGCTGCTCGCAAATTCAGTGGGTCCCTTCTGGAAGTGATAGAACGGGGACCATGACCAAGGCTGAGCGCGGAAACGTCGTGTCGATCTTGGTCACCGCCCATCTTGGTCAGCGTGAGTTCCCTTGCGAATCTGCGACGGCTGGCACGCACCTTGACCAATAACGGCGTCGACCAGACCCCGCAACATCTCAGTCATGATCAGCGTGTTTCTATGAGGCGCCTGCCCTCCTCTCGCATGCTTGCGGTCAGTCACCATGCGGATGGCAGGCAGGCGGTCCCCGAAGGCTTTGGGGGAGCGGAGAGTTCAGGCAGGGAGGGGATGGGAAGAGTTCGGGGGGGAGAATGGGGAGGTGCTGGGGATGAGAAGGGGGGAAGGAGGGGGTGAGCAGGGGGGACGGAGAGTGCCTGGGAAGGTGGGAAAGGGGGAGGAGAGAGGAGGGAGGCAACCTAGGTGCGCTCGAGACACATCTGACATCCTACCCCTCCCACCCATTCCTTTCCGTTGCGTTGGTTTTCCCTTTCCACCGACCGACGTCGCAGCGAACCTGGAGCCCCCAAAGGAACCCGATCGTGTTGTGCGCAATCTGAAGAGGGGAGCTGAGGAGGCGGACGAGCAGGAGGATGCTGAAGAGGGGAGCGCTGAGGAGGCGGACGAGCAGGAGGATGAGCAGGATGACGAGGAGAAGGATCAGGAGGATGACGAGGATGGGGCCATATTCATGCGCTGCCACGCGCGCTGGTCGAAGCCATTCCGCCACCATTCGTTTCGAAGCATGTCAAGCAACAACTTTTCAACAACGTTGAATAAAACCACGCGTGCCAAGCAACAGACCGTCATTGTCGTCCAGTATCATCACCGTCATTGGCCCTGCCGTCGTCATCGTCATCATCGCAACCATCATCGCTATGATCATCACAGTTACCGCCGTTGCCGACGTCATTATGATATGATACCACGCCCACCCGAATCACCGACCCGCACTGAGGCGCACGCGCACCAGCGCGGCCTTCGAGACGCGTTGGGAAGTGAACATCGGCACAACCACACCAGGTGGCGAAACCAGCTGGCCGATCTACGCGTCAGCATGCGCGCGCCAATGCGGCCATAGAAATGCGCAAACAAGTTCAAGCCGGCAGCCGCGATCATGGCTACATGGGTTCTGCCGAACAAGTTGCGGGTGCGAGGGTGGGATGTTTGCCCGAGCAATGGAGTTGCCGACTTCAAGACGTCAAAATACATTCTACGTTCTTAACAAAGAATTCGATTATGTCCTCCTCTGGGGGATATCCGCACTCTTTTTCGTACTGCAATGTACATATGATTAGGCCCTACCGTCCATCCTGAATATGAGCCCATACCATCCCAAGAAGGCCGGTATCGACACCCCCCGTCACCCGATGCAAAAACTACTATGCGCGCGCACTCGTTCATCACAAACAATCAGGTTTCAATAATCCCTTGCAAAACGTGGGACGACGTGCGCATGCGCGCGTGGTCGCGCGCGCATGCCGGAATCTTTCAAAAATCGAGTGTCAAAAGAAAACGTAATAGCATATGATTTCGCAACATGAATGTTCAAAGGAGCTTGCGCTCGCGCTCTTGCGAATTCTTATTAACACCATCGGTTTTTCAACATGTTCATACCATGCTACCAAGCGAGCTTCGTGCGCGCACATGCCAAATTCCTTCGGATGCCCTTGCGCGCGTGCTTCGCAATAACCTTTTGCAACCAACGGGACGACATGCACACGCGCGCGTCGTCGCGCGCGAATGTCCAACTCCTTCAAAAACCTAAAGTTGCGAACATATGTCAAAACCAAGTTTCCAAAACACATATCAGATTCCATGGTTTCGCAACGTCAATGTTCAAAAAAAGCTTGCGCTCGCGCTATTGCGAATTCTTTTATTATATATCCGCCGGCCCCCTTGTGGGGCCACCAGGCTGTAGGACGAAGGTTCGCAGTTTCCTGTACTAGTTGCAGCTTCCAGTTTCGACTGTTACAGTTCTGCTTCTTGCTGCTTACTGCTCCTTGTTGATAGACCGCGCGAGGGGGGGGAGGCCCAAACGGGCAGATTTAGCACGCCCTGAGCATGTGCTCTGAATTGCTGATGTGGGAAAAATTGGCACCCCTCACGCAGATCGGCGGGGTCAGGGTGCAAAAACACATGCGATTTACCACATTTCTGAAATTCGGCAACACACCCTCGCGCAGATCGGCGGGGTCAGGATCCAAAAACGCAAGAGATTTACCACATCTCAAAAATTTGCTGGCACCCCTCACGCAGATCGGCGGGGTCAGAGTCCAAAAACACAAGGGATTTGCAACATTTATGACATTCGGTGGCACCCATCACGCAGATCGGCGGGGTCAGGGTGCAAAAACACATGCGATTTACCACATTTCTGAAATTCGGCAACACACCCTCGCGCAAATCGGCGGGGTCAGGATCCAAAAACACCAGAGATTTACCACATTCCAAAAAATTGCTGGCACCCCTCACGCGGATCGGCGGGGTCAGAGTCCAAAAACACAAGGGACTTGCAACATTTGTGACATTCGGTGGCACCCCTCACGCAGATCGGCGGGGTCAGGGTGCAAAACACATATAAGATTTACCACATTTCTGAAATTCGGCAACACACCCTCACGCAAATCGGCGGGGTCAGGGTCCAAAAACACATGGGATATGCAACATTCCTGAAATTTGCGGCCCCCACGCAAATCGGCGGGGCCAGGGTCGGAGAACAAACAAGTCCCGACACTGCTTCACGGCGGCGCCCAGACATCATGATTTAGCTTTTGCATCTCCCATTATCCGAGGAAGGGGGTCGGCGGCATGGGGCGAAGCCCTTACGGATATTATATACATATCATATATATATATATATATATGTATATATGTGTATATATACACGTATGTATAACATCGGGTTTCCAACATGTCTGTGGGATTATGTATGCCAAACGAGCCTCTCGCCCCGCATGCCGAGATCATTCGCACGCCCTTGCGCGCGTGCTGGGGGGGCAAGATCCGTGTCAAACAATACCGTGCGGGCCACTCTCGCGCGTCGGCCGCGCGCGCATGTCGAACTCCTTCCAAAACCTTCAACACCGACACGAGAACGCCGTCATCGTCGTCGGCGTGATCAGCATCGGCGCTGTCATTGGCCCTGCCGTCGTCGTTGTCAACATCGTCACCACCATCGCTACTATCATTATCGTGTCTACCGTTGCCGACGTTGCCATGATACGGCGCCCGCCCAAGTCGTCGACTCGCACTGATGTGCCCGATGGGATGTGCCCAGCGGTCAGAGCCACCGCGGCCGCGTCAGTCGCGCCAAACAAGCTGGCCGCTGCTCGCGCGTGCTTGGGTTGGCACGGCCGCAGGGATGCACCAGCCAACGCCAAGCCCTAATCTCAATCGCCGCCGCACGGTTTTTGCAAACCAAGTGGCGGGTGGGTGGATGGGATGCGTGCAAGAGCATGGGATGTGTCAACTCGTTTGTGAAAAAACAGTTGCACCACACAGGACCCACCACATACCTTGTACATCCAGGGTGTACAAACTCAATGTTTGAGGCCCACGCTGGCAGACATGGCGGACATCGTAGTATTGATGCTTAGTGTTCCTGCTGTCAGCGTCACGTAGTAGTATTGCCCTTGCTCTTGCACATTCCAGGGGGGTTCGTCGAGACGGCGATCCAGAGAAATCAACTGCGACCTGCGATCTTCACTCCCGAACGCTACCCCGCGAATTATTAGCGTGACTGGGGGGCGCCCCAACCGAATGATCAAACTTGGATTTGCACATGGATTTCACCTGGCCGGGCGCAATGAGAGCGTTCCGCGCCCAATTAGCTCGTTTCCAGCGGACCGAGGGACGCCCACTGCGCACCTGCTTACACCGATCCTGGCCAAGCTAACTCTTGGCCGAGAATCGGACATACGTGCCTCCCTGGCCAGGCCAGGAAAGCGTCTCAGCTGATCCCGGGCCCAGGGTAGGCACTGGCCATGGACAGGCCAAGACCGAGGCATCGGGATCGCCAGCGACATCCTGGCACAGCACAATTCGCACGTGCACGCGCCGAATGCACGGCACAATTCGCACCTGCACGCGCAGCGCAGCACGACAGAAGGGGGCGGCGGCGGCGCGGCACCCACCTCACGCCACCGGCTCTGCTGGAGCTCGACCCCCTGGAACCTGCCTCCAGGGCCGCGGAGATGCACGGGTAAAGGGAGAAACTGAGGACAGGAGTGAGCAGAGGGGAAAGCATATTGGCGGGGGGGCGGGGGGAGAGGGTGGCGGGACGGCTTTGAGAGGTGGGGCGGGAAGCTCACTGGAGGCAAACCATTTTCACCGAAGGCAAACACACTGCGGCTGAAGGCAGACAATTTGTGCAGGCACCAAACGTTGAGGGGAACCAGACTTGCCTTGCTGGAGGCAACATTTGCGCCCTTACACAAGGAAGCTTACCTTCAAGAGAGCAAGCCTGCCTTACGCGAAACATGCCTTCAGAGAAGGAAGGAGAGGGCAGCACGGGAGGAGAAGCCCGAGCAGCGGGGACGACAGCAGCGGGGAGGGAGAGGAGGAGGACGGGGACCTTTTGGACCTCGTGACCAAGCATAGGCGGTCGTGCGAGGAGGGAAGGGGCATGGGGGGGAGAGAGACGAAAACAGCCCCAACCCCCGAAAGGAAGTGCCTGGACGAGGACGAGGAAACGGGGAACGCGGGAGGAGGAGGAGGAGGAGAACGAGCAGGGCAGGGATCAGCGAAGGAGGAGGAGGAGGAGGAGGAGGAGGAGGTAGAGGGGAAGAGAGTGGCAGGGATAAGCGGGGGCGGAGGGGGGGAAAAGAAAGATAAGGAGGAGCATGAGCAGCAGGGCCGGGGCAGCAGAAGCAACACAGGCAAAGGGAGGGTGAGGGGGCAAGATGAGGATGATGTTGAGGATGCTGAGAACATATACGAGGAGAGACAGACAAGTGAGGGTGGAAGAGGGAAGAGTGGCTTCCCAATTGACTCGGACCCATGGCCAACTCGGCGAGCTTCTCCATACATGTTGTGCTGCGCCAAAGCAGCAGTCGGGAAGAGGACGACGAGAACGACGAGACTGACAGGAGGGAGGGGTAGAGAAAGAGACAGAGAGAGAGAGAGACAACAAGAGAGAGAGAGAGAGAGAGAAAACAAGAGAGAGAGAGAGAGAGGACGGGTCAGGGGGGAGGGGGGGGGCTGGAGAGGAAGGGATTGGAACAGAGGGGAGAAGGGAGGGGGAGGAGGAGACATGCTATGCTTTTTGCTGTGGACGACTGGGAACTCCGATCCGGAAGGAATTTCAAATAAGGAGGGACAGTGAATTTATCGTCGACCAACTCAAGTCTACACCAAAAGTTTTAATCGAATGGTGCTCTTCCGACCTGCGAGTCCACCACTCGGCGTCCTCTGACACGTTTCTGGTGTTCCATCCTGGGAGGAACAGGTTCTATGAGGGCAGCACGGTGGGAACGAACAGCGCGGAGCAATGTGCGGGCGGGAAGGTGAGAGACGACATGAGGAGGAGGAGGAGGAGGGAAAGAGAGGAGAGAAGACTAGGCGGGGCGGCGGAGGCTCCTTCAGAAGTCGCCAAACAAATTCGCCCCCACTCCGAACCCCCCCGAAGCAGCGCCAAAACGTGAATTCCTCCGCAAAAGCGCAACCCATGTCCTTCTCCTCCTCCTCCGCCTCCTCCTCCTCCGCCACCGCCTCCCCCCCTCGCCCCCCTTCCTCCTCGCCCCTTCAACTCCTCCTCAACCTCCTCCTCCTCCTCCTCCTGCTCCTTCTCCTCCTTCTCTTCCTCTTCCTTCTCCTCATCCTGCCTCCTCCTTCTCCTCCTCTTCCTCCTCTACTCCCCCTCGCCCGCCCTCATCCTCGCCGCTTCAACTCCTCCTCCTCCACCTCCTCCTCCACCTCCTCCTCCGCTTCCTCCTCCTTCTCCTCGTGCATATGTTTTCTTATCCGCATCCTTATCCCTATCGTCCTCCCCCTCCTGCTGCTTCTTAACCGAAGCCTTTTCCTCCTCCTCTTCCTCCTCCTCGCCTCCTCCTTCTCCTCGTTTCATCCGAATCCACCTCCCCCTCTTCCTCGCCTTTCCTCATCCTTGTCCTTTTCTTCCTGCTCATCCTGCTCGCCCAGGGCCAATTTTATTCTCGGGGCTCCCGCACGAGTGACCCTGCAGCGACTGACCCCCGCAGCCTCGGGGTACAGCGTGCCGAGCTCGGCCGGGTCAGGCCTCGCGCCGGGTTGGGAAGATGTACGCCCGAGGTTCGAAATCGAGCTCCTCGGCCTTCCCCATACCCTTCCTCCTCGTCCTCCTCCTCCTCTCCTCCTTCTCCTCCTCCTCCTGCTCCTCCTCCTCCTTTCAAGGTTATTCATGAATAAATACGGTCATCCTGCCACAAAACCGACCGAAGGGGGCTGGACCCGGGCGGTTCCATCCTACATGTCAGCCACACACAACGTAACATCCACTTCGTGACAAGATGGGTATTATGTCGGCGATGTTGCAGCATGCATGGCGGGAGTGGAAGGGGCGCACAACCCGCGCGAAAGGCCGAAATGTCGTTCTCGCCTCGGCGTCGCGCTCACTGTTTTAGAGAATGGGGTTCCCGCTCGCATCGTCGTCGACGCCCAGGTGTCTCCTGAAAGTGGCGCTCCCGCCTCGACGCGGCGTTTTTTTCACTCGCCAATGCTGTAGGGCCCGCGCGAGTGGGCGACTTGTCGCCCTCGCCCAAGGCGCGACAGCGGCAGCTGGGCCGCGCGAGCGGGCGAAATGTCGACGTCTGCCCAGCGACGGGCACTCTGTGAGTGAGGATGGCAGTGCTGCGCGAGCGCGGCGCATGTCTCTGGACCAGAAAACAGACGGCACCATCCCACCGACGACCCCGCGACGTTGGAATTTTGAGCATTTGCCCAGCGGTCTCGGCCACCGCGCAACGCAGGCGCCGAACTTCGGGCAAACGCAATTCGCAGCAGCGCGGTTCATTTCGCGTGCTGGCCGAACGAACTCCCCATTCGAAGGGAGCGCACCGCTTGCCCCCCGCAGCACACAGAGACGCTTCTCGGCGGCGCACTGCCTCAACCCGACGTTTTGCTCAGCGCAGTGATGCGCGCAACATCTATGCCAATTGAATATTTCAGAACAACGATGCGGCGCCCTCAGCGGGAACCCCTGGCTCGGCTTCTACGGGGCCGCCCCTCAGCGACGCGAGGGCGATGGCGAAGGCGCGGGGGACCTGCATCCTCGAAGTTCGGACCCAAGAGCGCATGGTAGCGGCACAACTTCTGACCAGCACATTATCATCCGACGTTGAGTTTGCACCGGATGGCCGAACAATTAGCGTGGCAGGTAGGAACCCTCTTTGACCAGGCGGTCGTTGCGTCAATGGGGGCGTTCGAGAAGTGTTGCCTCATTGCGTCCGAAAACGGCCCTGGCCACGACGGCGACCGGCGAAGCGGGCACATGGCAAAGAAGGCCGCAATTCCTCCTCAAATATATCTTCGCCGCGCGGAGGCGTTCGAGGTGGCCGGCGGCCCGGGCGGGCACCCCCTTCCTCGGGGTCGCCGCAGACGGCGCGGGCGGAGGGCAAAAAGGCGCCCACTACACGGCCATCTTCAACTCCAACGCTTGCGGCGAGACTGAGGCATGCTGGGCGCGCCCGCAAAAACCTTCGGGGTGACAGCATGGCCCACCCCGCACTGCCGCAACCCCTCCAGGGCGGCCCAGGCGTCCGCAAATCGTGTTAAGGGGAAGGGGGGGGCGTGGGGTATACCAATATGCTGGCCTGCATGTTTAGGTGGTATACGCTATGCCTGCCACGGGGCGTATCGTATGACATGGTTTGCTTGTGGTATACGGTACGCGCCATCATCGGATGTCATCGACACGCGGGGCGGTTTGCGCAAACATCGGGCGCGCCCTGCTGGGGCTTCGCGGGCCTCCAGAAGCAGGGGTACAGCGGCCTGCGGACACCCGCGGGGGGCCAGCGGAGGCCGCGCTGGCTTCTGTAGTCGGCCATCCCGCAGGTTGTCCGAAGAGGATGGACAGAAAAGGAGGAAAACGGGGAGGAAGGAGGGGGAAAAAGGGGCGGGGGAGGAGGAAGGGGAGGGGGAGGAGAAGAGGGAGGATGGAGGAGGAGGGAGCAGGATGGAGGATGAGGGATGAGGGAGGAGGGGGAGGGGGAGGAGGAGGCAGGAGGGAGGAGGAAGAGGGAAGAGATCACACAAAAGAGGATGAGGCAAGGTTCGCAAATATTCAACACGGCGGGTCGTAGGTGGAGTGGTGTCAAGTTTTTGTCGGTCGAGTTTCGTTTTCGCCACGCTCATCGCAAATGTTGATGTTCCCGCCCGTGTAATTTTCTCGCCGCCAAGTTCGTCGGGATCGGGGCCGTGCGCGAGCGCCTGCCGATTGCGAGGTGGAAGCGGGTTCCAAACCCAATGTCCAGTTGTGCCACATTGTTCTGTCATGGTGTGACAAAAAGGTTGGGAATAGGCGGGGCCCTCTGACTCGCTCGACCTGACTAACTTGACTCCTCTTCCTCCTCCTGCTCAGATTACGGTTCCTCCTCCTCCTCCACCTCTTTCTTTTCCCCCCTCCCTCCTCCTCTCCCTCATCTTCAAACTCGCCCCCTCCTTTACCTCCTTTTCCTCCAGCCCTTCCCCTTTCGCTCCCCGTCCACCTCCCTCAACCCCTCCGCCTCCCCGTCCACCTCCTCGTTCTCCTCCTCCGCCTCGTCCTCCTCCTCCTCTTCCTCCTCCTCCTCCTCCTCCTCCTCCTCCTCTTCCTGCTCCTCCTCCTCCTCCTCCTCCTCCTCCGTCTCCCCCCTTTTTCGTCCTATCCGTCCTCATATCCATCGTCGCCCTTCCCCGTTTTCCTCTCCTCCTCCTGTCTGTAATGAACTCATTTCTGCCGTGCACCTGTTTGCCGTGATCAGTTTCGTTTTGAGACCCGCGAGGGGCCCGACGCGCACGCACATGCCGCGCACGCACCGTCACACGCACATGCCCACGCAAGCCTGCAAAAGCCTCGACAGCGTGGCCGCACATGTGCGCACATGCCACGCAGTCCGGTGCACAGACGGATGCATCGACTAGACAAGTTCCGAACGTATAAACACGAATGTTCGCACATGCCGCGAAGACGAAGATCCGGATGGGAGGTGAAGAAAGACATGGGGAGGAACAGTATAAATACAGGAGAGAAGAATGAAGAACAAAGACAGAAACAACACATTAATATATAATTCCGTTACGTGTTGGCCATGATCATCGTATTTCTTCCCTCGACCCCATGTCGTTCAGACGAAGGGTCCTCTTCTAAGCCGGATCGCTGGGTCTGGCGCAGATGGGTCCACCGGGATGAGGTGCAGTAGCGATTGCAAAATGAAAAGCAAGGGGCAAAAGGGCTTGACCAGGTGACGTCGGCGACGTATCGGAACATCCCATAAATCATCCTTCGATGGCGCGCAATATGGTAAGTAAAAGATAAGCCGCGAGATAGCGAGAGGGATCATTGATAGACGTGGCCTTCGTCGGATGCGATGATCTGATAGCGTCCCACTGTCGCGCGACAGGCACTTGGGCGGCGCAACCTTAAGCCAAGATTGCGGCGGATATAGCGTTCGCCATACCCCCCCCCCCCCATAAACTCCGTTCAACAACGGAAGCAAGGAGGGGCCGAACGCTACAATCTAACCACAAAAATTATATCAAGTCCAAGGTAAGGATTGAGAGGTTGTTTTCATCATTCCAAAGAATGCAACATCAAGGCAAGTACGAGCAGCGCAACGCATCAGGGCCCGTCTTGGGCAAACCCTCACGAAAGGCCGCAGATCGCCATGGATGACCACGGGGAAGACCACGCGGTCATCCGTAGATAATTAAGAGGACGTCTGGCCTACTGCCGGACGCCAGAGCACACGACTGGTGAGGGCACGCGACCAAACAGTCAAGTCCCCCAAAAAGGAAGTGATGTCCCGTGTCCAGGCTAGCCTGCACCATGTGCGCATACTTCGCCAGTTGCCGGGCATGCATTGACTGCGCGTTGGCAGCTAGGTTGTAAAACGCATGCCGACCCACCCGCCCTGAGTAGGGCGCCCGTAAGTTGGCGTTGTTGCTTTAGCGTCTCAATAGGGCATGTACTTCTTTACCTCGCACTTGATAGACTGATTGCCGTCCATGACTTGCAGCAATAAAGCTCGATCGATACATCCTTTTGTATGGCCATATGCTGTCATACCCCATGCATCGCATCAATGTGCGCCACAAGCGCGACCTCGGTCCAACAATTGTCCTGTCCGACTGATATGTCCCAACAGGACGCATTCAGTCGGCCTCTTCAAGTCCTTACTTGGCGAAGGTTTGAACACCGACCCAGCGTCTTTGATGATGGCGGCCTTGATGCTGAGACCGCCGAAGTCCAAAACGTTGCTAAGTTGCGTTGGCGTTAGTAGTGCGGCCTTGAGCTCGTGTAGCGTTACTATGGTTGGGTGGCAGTCTTCCAGGTAATGACCTGCTGCCAGCGTTTCAGCCGAATTGTTGAAACGTGCCTGCAAACGGCGTGACTTACATTGTGCGTCGGTCAGATGTACTACTTCTGCGTAGTTGGGCGCGTGTCCGCGCACCAAGAGGTTGGCCCCCCGGATGCCGCATCATTTTGCTTTGTCATCTTCGCCCCCGTCAAGGCGACGGCAGCTGGAATCGCTGTGAAGGTTCACTTCCCCTGTCGGAACCATGAATGAGCTGATCTGCCATCTTCTATGAGCCTTGCTGGAGCTTGTGTGCGACAGCGTTGAGTCTTCGCACTGGGAGGTTCGCAGGTTCCTGTGCCTGTTGCAAGGGCGCCACGCATGCCATCAACCACGCCTGAAAAATTAATGCGTGCGCTAACGCGCCGCGTAAACTGATGCACGCGTCGGACGCTGTCTGCACTGCCCTTTCCCGGGCAACGGCGCCCGTAAGTTCTGGGCGCTGTGGAGGGCGATGTTGCTTGATATACTCATCATGATCTAGCTGGCCGCGACCGCCCTCGGTCGCAGCGTGCGGCACGTGACGCAGTTAGTATGGCGGCGCATGTTCAGTTTGCAGGCGCCGAACGCACTTTCTACGCATCTGGCACATGTGTCCAGCGTGCCCTCCATTCCTGCAGCGTTCGTGTCGCCAGCGTGCCTGGTTGTCGGAAAGGTGTGGACTTGTCTCAAATTCTTCATCATATGAAGTGGGTGTGAGTCCACA